GTTTGAGCCTTGGCCAACAGCAGAGCATTGGTATTGGCCAAAAGCAGTACCAGCAACTGTAACCAGAACAATTAGCGCAGTCAAAACTGCTGAGCCATAAGTTTCCATTGGCAACAAACACACACACACACACAAATGGCAACCAGGATACAAGGATACAATGGCAAGCCGAATGCTGTTGTCTGAGGAGCGGTGAGTCAAGTCAGTGAAGCACCCTTTTGGCCCGCTCCTTTTTTGGCAACAGAAACAGTTAGCAACTGAAACTGAAAACTTGGAAAGAGTCTAGTCAAGATGAAACTAAATTAAATGCGGCTGAGGAGACAATTATTCTGTCATTTATCTCATATGGCATAAAGTTACAAGACAAAAAGTTGTGCCCCCGCTTTGAACTCTCCTTTGAGCTTCTTAGCGACACGTGTCCTTTCTCCGTGTGTCCTAGCTGAGCTCAACTTTTTTTTGTGGGTATTTTTTTTTTTTGGCTAGCTGCAGTGTAAAGTATATTAAGTATACGCCATGATATTCCTCCCCGGTGGATACTTTACTTTTATTTACTTGTCGCTGGGCATATTAAATTTCTACCGCCGATCCCCCACTCCCGCCATTAGATGGCCCAAAAGTTGAATGAAATTTACTTTCAAGGTCTTTTCCATCGAATAGCTATCCTCGGGGGCCCGACGCGAATTGAATTAAATTGTGTGATTGAAGCATAAATAAATTCATTAAATACTTTGAAGCAAAATCTCCCCTCTAGAAAAGAAGCAGACCAAGTGTTTAAGGCGTTCGATTTGATTTTGATTCAACAGGTATTCGGTCGGCTCCCACCATTGCCAGGGGCAACCTTCGGCCGGAACTTGACCTTCTTCCCAGTGCGCCTTATTGATTCAATCACAAGAATAACTGCAGGATGTTTTGTAGTTTGCTTTTATAACTACCCCTGGCCGTGCCACTCAGTGCATCTTGTATCTGGTATCTTGGATCTGTCTTTCAATGTCAAGGCTGTCTCTCAGCTGCCTCATTATGGATGGATTTCAATTGGACAATGATTGACAATGAAACCGATTGCAAAATCCAGGTAGTTTGCATTTAAATCTCTTAAGGTTGAGCCATAAATTGGCTTGAAAAATTCCAGGTCAAATATTCCCCAAAATAGTTAATTTAGGCTTCTATTTTCGGCCCAAAGGCAGACTTAATTTAATCTTTTGTCTGACTTTCATCTAAGCTTGTGGATTAAATTAACGAACTATTAGTTCTGGGCCCGCCTCTTGACCCTCTTTTATTCAGATGTTGGTATCCTTTTGAAGCCACCTTTTTTGTGGCCCCGAGTAGGGCCAACTTAATATGCATCACTCCCATCTGCCAGGCCAGACCAGACCCAGCCAGGACCCAGTTAATTTCACCTTTTAGGGACTAATCCTGCAGACAGGCTTAATGCCCGCACATGCCAAAAACTCGGCAGCATAATGCGTCAAATTGCTAATTAAGAACTGCAGCAGTAGCAACTTTTTGCCACTGTTGGCCACGATTAGTGGCCATGTCATTAGGGTCCAGAAAAAGGGGAAACCCCAAATAAAGAAGCACACACACAAAAAAAAGGGAATGAAAGGAAAAGGGTCTGAGCTTGCGTGTTAAGACATGACCAGGCGCACATTTGATTATGACAAACAGTCACACATGTACATGTGTTAGTGGACACAACGACACACACACACCCATGTGCCAATTAGCCAAAGGCGTGTCCTGTAAGGCTGGAAGGTAGACTATGTTTTTTGTTTTGGTGAAAAAATGCGATGAAAAAAGGTGACACTAGCGAAAGCTCGTAAAACAAAAATAAGTCGGTTTTATTTATACAAGTATTAGTTATATTTCTTTTATTTTTAGCTAAAATATATATTAAGTTCTCGAGGAGCAACTAAATTTGTGTCAAGTCACAAAAACCTAATTACCAGCTTAAAGATAGCGACTGTGAGCGGGCGAGTAATTAAAAATAGCCCACATGGAAGCTGCACACGCCTATTTTTAGGGTCAACTGCTGGGGTCAAGCACTCCACACGGCTAGACACCAGGTGGGCGGTGGTGGGCGACGGAGCTGGGAATGACAAAGGTCTTGGCTCGTTCCTAATCAACCCCTAGTTGGTAGCGCATTTAAAAGCACCAATTTATTTGCGTTGCTTTGGCCGCAAAACCCAAAATACGAAAATACGAAAGAGTTGCCTGCTGCGCATAAAGTTTTTTGGGCAGCCCAGTGAGGCTGCAGTAATGCGAATTGATTTTCACCGGCTGCAGACATCGCGGATAGCCAACTTTGTGGCATCCGCATCCGGATCCGGATCCATAGTCATATCCACAAAGCATCTCCCATAACAAATAGCTATATTTATGCACAGGAATAAATACTTGTTGGGTTAATAAATACCCGTTTACTATTTTTTCTTAAATTTTATTTAGGTGATATTATTTTTCATAATATTTTTCTCTCTCTGCATAAAGCACATCCATCTCCCAGTCAGCCTCGATTGCCGAAAACTTCCAATTCGAATTTTACGCCTAAATACTTGAGGAAATTGTTGATTTGATTTTGGCCGCGTGAAAACTTTTTAATTAATTGGCTCCTCGACCTGGCAGTTTCTCTATTTTCCAACGCCGTTGTTATTGCCGTTTTTATGTGCGTGTGGATCTTGATCTGGGAAATGGGTCTTCGGCCATTTGATTTTGGCCAAAACGACAAACGTGACCCAAAAAATGTTCGGTCATCTTTTCCGGAAACGGACGTGACAGTAATAGGTCATGCCCGATTCCTTTCGATTTTCAGGGTCCGGCCTAAATAAAAACTTTTCTTTATTTGATTTTGATTTGATATTTTTTGTGAAGCCATAAATTTATCTTCACTTTTTTATGGTTTGTGGTCAGGAGACAACTTTATTTTAGGATTTTGAACATGATTTGAATCACTATTTTTATTGAATATAAAAATAATTAATTAAATTTACTCACCAAAGTGATCGCCTATTGATTGTTTCCTTTTTTCATTCCAATCTTATAGATTTTTAGTTTTTTAGTTTAATGAAGTTTATTTTCCATTTTAAGAAACTCACTTTTATTAATCAAGTCACTGATTCATAAATTGTCAACCTTTTGTTGACTATCATCTTAAATGATAACAATATTAAATTAACAAAACAATTATGGCCTAGTTTTTTATTCAACCTTAGCAAAATAAGTACACCTAAAATAATTTATCATTAGATTGTTTAAAATTATTTATCTTTTAAAAATAAATTAATCCAATTAAGTGGAACCAACTTTGTTTATTAAACTTTCGTGTTTCGCCTTTTGTCAAGCCACAATTTCCGGCGGGAATCGCTTCATCGCAAATTCACTTTTCGGTTCGCCAACCTCCATCGCATCCAAGGCGTATGTAACTCAATTTGAAATTCTTTTCGATTAATTGAATTTCGACTAATTACGCGCACTTAGCACCTTGGCGGCTTTTTAAAATGACAACCAACAGGACAAAGGACGCGCGCGCAAATGAAGGACTTCCGAACACTCCGGCTAGCCGAGTGACAATGCGGCGTATACGCAACTTCCTTCGCGTTCCATCGGCTACTGAACGGACGTTCGTTGCCGACAAATCGAAAAACAGGCGGCATCGAGACTTTCCCAGCAGAAGCAACAAGCGCGCACGCCAAAAGTCCAGGAGCGGACTTGCGCCAGCGCGCCATAAATCTCGAGATCCATCCGTTGTTGTTTGCTCACGCTCCCCATTTCAGTGACATCATCATCCGGATTTGCTTAGTGTTAGATGCGTAATTAAAATGTCTGCACAATTAAACAGCAGAGATTTTTCTTTATCAACTTGACATATTTATCGCATGGACCGGAATCCATCCGAATTCGGGGCGACGTGGCGCAAAAATTTAAGCGCCAACCACCTGTTAACCGTGGGATGTTAATCGAGGGAGCTTTTATTAACAGAGTAACGGCCATATTATTTCAAAAAGCTATAATCTGTGTTTTGTTTTTATCTACAAAATTGGATTAGGATAACAATAATATAGATTTTATGATTCAATTATTAATATATTACAAAAAAATGGATTTTTCCATCATTTATTTATTATAATTTTTAAAAAACCATACATAATTAACATAATTAATTTTGAAAATAAAGCTTTAGGAAAAATTGTTCAAAACAACTTATAATTTTTAGAAGAGATAAACCAAAAACCGGTCTCTTTGAATGTTTTGCATATTATTCTCTTATAACAAGTTTTTGAAATGATAAGAGATAATAATAATTTCGGTTTTTCAAGTATTTAACTTATCTGATACCCTTATCACTGCGAATACTGACCTACATTGAAAAATTTGGTAAGAATGTAGTAAGAAGTAGTAAGATAATATTTGAAGGATACTGAATAAAATCTTGCCATAAGATACATCATTTAAAATTTATATGTTTGGTGGTTGAGCCCTTAAGAAAGTGTAAATTGGATGACGAAATCACTGATATGTTTTAATCAGCTGTGTGAGAGAACCTGAATAAAAATGTATATAAATAGAGAGAGGTAAACGAAACCACACGGTTCATATTTTTCGAAAACCTTTAAAAGGCGCTGAAAGCCTGAGTGCATTTTCAGTTGCACTTCGAGCTTCAAACCATAAGGCTTATAAATTGATTTATTTTTTATTTTTATGATTAATTAAATGCTAGCTAGTCAAATATAAAAAGTAGTTTCTTTTAGGAAAAGATTATTTTATTTAAAAACAAACCTTGTTAATTTTATTAGAGCTCTCCCTTATTTTGGGAGGATTCTGCAGACTCTCCAATTTTATATGGAGAGTCTATAGGACCAGAGGCTTTCTAGAAGTCGTCTGATGCAACCAGAAGCACATGGAAATCAGCATTATTTAACGAGAAACCGAGCGATATTAGAGAGAGAGAGAGAGAGAGAGAATCTGCCAAAGTTGAGAGCACTGGGACTATAAAAAGGCAAAGCTCGGGAGCTCCGAGCAGCAGTCAGCTAGAAATTCGCAACGAGGCAACAACATTATTTGTGTAATTAAATAAAATAAAATAACAGGAAAATGTGCGGCATCTTTGCAATATTTTCCCGGGATGGAGAACCTATTCCCCCGCAAATCCTTCACGGCAGCAAGCACAGTCTTAGGGAACTGGCTTATCGGCAGAGTGGAAAACAACGGCATCGTGGTCCCGATTCCACAGGCGTCCATGTAATCGCCTCCGATGGGGTGGCCATGGTTCACGAACGTCTACGCATTGTCGGCGTGGCCATGGGGGATCAGCCCTTCGTTTCGCAAGATGGTAACCTGGTTTTGGTGGCCAACGGAGAGATCTACAACTACCTGGAACTGGCGGCGGATATCGCAAAGCGTCGTGGAACTTACAAACCGAAAAGCGATTGCCATGTGATCCTTGAACTCTACCAGGACTACGGCGCAGACCTTTTGCAGCACATAACAGGGATGTTTGCTTTCGCACTGTATGATCGACAGACCAAGGAGGTCCTGATTGCCAGGGATCCCTTTGGCATCATACCCTTGTATGTGGGTGAGGATAAGGCGGGCAATCTGTGGGTATCCTCGGAGATGAAGTGTCTGGTGGATACTTGTCCCAAACTGGAGACCTTCACACCCGGCGAAGCGAGAATTGGAAGAGTGGGAGCACTGAAGACCTGTTGGACGTTCCAGCAGCCCTGGATCAAGGAAGTTCCGAACCAACCCTGCGAACTGGCCCTGGTCCGTTCTATTTTTGAATCAGCGGTAAGAAGCCATCTCCATTGTGATGTCCACTTTGGTGCCCTTCTATCCGGTGGTGTGGACTCCAGCTTGGTAGCTTCGATAGCCACAAAGATTATGCGGGAACGGGATCCCAACTACCGGCTGAAAACTTTCTCGGTGGGTCTGCGGGATGCCCCGGATTTCGAGGCTGCCCGGCATGTGGCCAAGTACATCGATAGCGATCACAAGGAGATCATCTTTGAGATCGACGAGGCGCTGGACGGGATCAGAGACATTGTGTACCATCTGGAAACCTACGATGTCACCACTGTGCGATGCAGTCTGCCCATGCTGCTGCTGGCCAGGTACATAAAGAGTACTGGCATCAAGATGATCCTGTCGGGCGAGGGTGCCGACGAGATCTTCGGAGGGTACCTCTACTTCCACAAGGCTCCCAACTACAAGGACTTCCACGAGGAGCTGGTGAAAAGAGTCCAGCAGCTGCACCTATCCGACTGCCTGCGGGCCAACAAAGTGGCTATGGCAAAGGGCGTGGAGCTAAGGGTGCCCTTCCTGGACACAGGATTCGTCAACCATGTGATGCAAATCCGACCGGAGGATAAGATCCCAGGACCTCTCAACCAGTACGGCGGACAGCAGCAGAAGCGCCTGGAAAAGTACATCCTGCGAGCTGCCTTTGCGGACAACTATCTGCCGGACGATGTCCTGTGGCGGCAAAAGGAGCAGTTCTCGGACGGTGTTGGCTACGACTGGATCGACAACATCCGGCGGGTGGCTACCAGTCATGTGACCGACGAGGAGTTCGCAGGAGCAGCTCTCCGGTTTCCATTCAACACTCCAACCACCAAAGAGGCGTACTATTATCGCAGCATTTTCGCCGAACAGTTTCCCGGGGAGTCGGCTGCCCGGACCGTAGTGAGGTGGGTGCCACGGCTCGATTGGGGGTGTCCAGAGGATCCTTCCGGCAGAGCGCAGGCTGTCCACCAAATTCACAAAGACTGTTAATTTTCAAAATTTTGTACATAGTTTAATTATTAGTATAGTGTGGCAAATTCCACTACAAGTATCTGCCAATCCTTGCACAAATAAATTACATTATTTACTTGGTAATCAACCTGACACCTCTTGATTTCTCAATTAATAATTTATTTGTTCAGCTTCATCTGATAGGCGGGGTGTGTGATGAGTATATTAAATTTTATTTAGCCATATGGGCTTGGTTATTGACACGTGCCCATCTAGTTGTCAACTAAGTTAATTGGTTACTAGCCGGCAATATTGCATTTAATAAGTAATCTATAAGAGGCAATTGAACCCTCAATCAAGACAATTTACGCTGCGATCTACAGTAGCTATTCGCAAATAAATATTTTTATAAATCTCGATTCATTTAAAAGGTTACATTTTGTTTTACTTTTCTGTTATTTGAGGGTAACATAAACTTTACTTTATTAAACTTTATTACATCAAAACCTGCACTTCCTTTTCAAAAATTTAAAATTTTTAAAATAAAATACCGTTATTTTGTAACGAAAAAAAAAAATAATACTAGATTCAATTAATTTTAAAAACTTCAAAACATTTTTATCAAAAATATTAAAAACAAAAAGTTGTATTAATTTTTAAATTAGTTCAAAACATTAGTTTAAGGAGACAACTTTTAGGTATTATTTTATTAATATTAAGTGTAGCATAACAAGGCCTTCCTGTTAAATTCTTATTTTTTTTTATATAGTTCAGGATAAAATATATTTAAACTATATTAAGCTTAATAATATTTAAGCTTACAAACTTAAAAACATCGATAAATCTTAAGGAATCGATATCTTATAAATATGGTCACATTGATTAAAATAAACGTTTTTCCAACACTAAAAATACCAAAAAATGCTGGTATTATATCTGCTTCGATATGCAGCCACATTGTTTTAATTTTTTTCGCAACGCAACGGATTGGCAAAATCGCTGCTGATTAAGAAAAACTGTATAACCATCTAAGCAAGAGTGGCGAGAAAGCAGAACCCATGCTCTGGCTAACCAAAATGTGATGTTTGCCGGGCTAACCGACCGCTCGGCGACCGCAAAAACAAGTGCAAAATCTCCAGATCTCTGGCGTCACCGCGACAAATCGAGAGAAACAAAAAAAAAAAAGTGAGCGCTGAGCTGACGCGAGCAGCGCTGCCGAGGAATTCGTGCGCTGTTGTTGCTCAGCAATAACGGTAGAGTGAGGGAGCGACCCCAACAACAACAACAACAACAACATATGACAAAGTGAAACTGACTGCGTTGGCCCCAAAAAAAAAAAACAACAACCACAGCAATAGGAGAGTAAGAAGAAGAGGAAGAGCAAACTGTGATCTCTGCTTAAAAAACAGACGACGACGTCGACGAAATAATACAAAAAAAAAAAAAAATTAATAAAGGGCAATTGTTCAATTGGCTGTGTTTGGAAAATAAATTTAGTCAACGGGGAAGGTGTATTTGCGGGATTTGCCAAAGGTTTCGACCGCACTCGGCTGGAAAATCAATTCTGGAGCTTGCCAAAGGGCAACAACAAGCAGCAGTTGTTATTCGATAAAAAAAACGGTACAGGGGCCCAGCCCAAAACAATCTTCGCCAAGAGGAGGAGGCGGCGGCGGAGCAAGAAGAAGAAGAGCGCCAGAGCAGCGCAGCCGGATTTGCAAATAGGTATGCCAACGTGTATATGTATGTGTGTGTGTGTGAGTGCGTATCTCAAAGATACGAAAAGTCCAATACAAATGGTGTTAAAAAAAGATACATGAATCGAAGGTGCTTCCGTTTCACTCGAGCTCTCTTTCTCTCTCTCCCCCACTCACTCTCTCTCTGTGTGACATTTAACAAATGCCGGCAATAAAAAAACAAAAAAAAAAAAGATATTTATTTTATTTGATTTTCATTATTCGACCAACGATCGTGCAGCTGTTGGCAAACATTGAGTTTTAGGTTAAGATACGCTGCCGCATTCACAAACTTTGATTAACACGTCCATTATCTTATCGGGGAAACATACATTCCGAAAACAAAAAGCCCTGAAATACCAAGTAGTAGCCGGAAAACGATCTCAATAGTTAGTATAACCATGAAAACTAGTTACGAAAGCGTGTAGCTTGAAGTTTGTTGATGTTTTTTTTTTTTTATAAATAGAAAATTGCGTATGCAAATGCTAATTTGTCGAGTCTCCCTCTCTCGTTCTCAACAAGTCGCTGTTGTTGCTTGGCAATTGTTATTGTTATTGCCATTTAGCTATATTATCTCATACCATATACCACCATATATATATATATATATATACATATGCCTGGCGACACACGCAAATTGCTAAATTGTGACGCCAGAGTCTCCAAAAAATTGTTGCCCCATTGGAATTTCAATATAAATCTATATCCATATTCATATTAATCCATAGCTGATGTCTGATGGCTCAGTTTCCTGTCTTACCTCCTCCTCGAAACATGCCACCCACTTTCCTCCCACCTTCAAAACAGCCTGAAACCGAGACGTCGTCACGCTCTCGGCTCTCGGCTCTTGTCGAGATGATTCACGTTTCACGTAACAACGCCCCACCATCTGGTATCCCTCCCCTGCCAGAGTAACTGCCGGAGTATCCAAGTGTCCATGCCCATCCCCACCCGCATGCTAGTTCACCTACTTTTCACCACCGCCACCCGCTAAACGTCCTCCTCTCTCCCTGAACTCCCTTTCTAGCTCGCCTCTCAGTGACTTCACTCTGGAATTGCCTCACTTGCCTCACTTGCCTCACAAATTGTTGACTGTTGCGGCTGCTGCTTCTTACCACCGTGTTTTTGTGGTGGCCAGTGCGCATGCCACAGGCCACCGAATGCCTGTAGTGGGATGGAAATCAAGGGATTTGGCGGGAACATCACACGGTCGGAGAAGCAAAACATTCTATTAGTCACCTGGCACTTGGTGTTATCTTTTCAAGAATTCTTGTTTAAAATAACAAATAGTATACCTTAGTTAGAGGTGTTGTTTAGGTAATCCTATCTTGATATGTTCTTAGTAAGTTTGGCTTTAATGTTTACCTTAAGATTAGCTTGAAACCCAAGTTCTATCGAACTAATTGTTTAGGGAGCTGGTTTAAGATCTTATTGGGTTTCAGTTTCCATTAAAGACCAACTTAGGTAAACTCTAGACAGAGGCTTATAAGTTATAGCCTCTGATTTCCCCAAGAATATGCCCTATATTCTATCCAATCCCTATAGCCTTGACTGGAAACTTCATATACCTATGTATTTTGGATTTAGTAGAATTCACAATCGTTTTTTCAAGTGTCGATGTACTATATTTTTTCCTCGCCGCTCCACACTTCCTTGAGTAAACCTTAAAAGTAAGAAATCTTCATCCTCTCCCAGCCCCAGCCATCAATTTTCAATTTAAGAGCCTCTCTCCCAGGCCGAACCTTTGAAATTTTAATTTAATTTTCCACCAAAAAGTACTGCATTCGAAGTAATCTCAAATTCTCGTTTCTGGTTTCAGTTGCTGCGCCATAAAGTAGAAGTGGAAGTACGATGGCCTACCGCAAACCTAGTGACCTGGACGGATTCATCCAGCAGATGCCCAAGGCGGATATGCGCGTAAAGGTGCAACTGGCCGAGGATCTGGTGACATTCCTGAGCGACGACACCAACTCCATTGTGTGCACGGACATGGGCTTCCTCATCGATGGGCTGATGCCGTGGCTGACAGGGAGTCACTTCAAAATAGCGCAAAAGTCACTGGAGGCATTCTCCGAGCTAATCAAGCGGCTGGGCAGCGACTTCAATGCCTACACCGCCACCGTGCTGCCACATGTGATTGATCGGCTGGGCGACAGTCGGGATACGGTGCGCGAGAAGGCGCAGCTTCTGCTCAGGGACCTCATGGAGCACCGGGTCCTGGCGCCGCAGGCGCTGATAGACAAACTGGCCACCTCTTGCTTCAAGCACAAGAACGCAAAGGTTCGCGAGGAGTTTCTCCAAACGATTGTCAGCGCTCTCCACGAACACGGCACCCAGCAGCTCAGTGTGCGGGTGTACATCCCCCCGGTGTGCGCCCTCCTGGGCGATCCCACGGTGAATGTGAGAGAGGCGGCTATCCAGACCCTGGTGGAGATATACAAGCACGTGGGGGACCGGCTGCGGCCGGATCTACGACGCATGGAGGACATGCCGGCCTCCAAGCTGGCCCTGCTAGAGATCAAGTTTGACCAAGTCAAGAAGGACGGCCTCCTGCTGCCCTCCGCTCTGAAGAACACCAACGGCAGTGGCAACGGCCATGGTCTGGACGAGGCCGACAACATTGGAGTGAAGGAGCGACCCAGCCGGATAATCAAGAGGCCGCTGCACTCGTCCGCCTCCTCGTCGTCGTCGCTGCGCTCCAAACAGAGCTCCAACGATGTGGCCGGGGATGCGGGCGCAGTGACCATGGAGATCTTCGAGGCGAGCTTCGAGCTGGTGCCGCAGCTGAACATCTTCCACGCGAAGGACATGGACGACATCTACAAACAGATACTTGTGATCATCAGCGACAAGAACGCCGACTGGGAGAAGCGAGTGGATGCGCTGAAGAAGATCCGGGCTCTCCTGGTACTGCAGTACCATCTGCAGCCACAGTTCGTGGCCGTGCAGCTGAAGGAGCTGTCGCTGAGCTTCCTAGACATCCTCAAGGAGGAGCTGCGCTCGCAGGTGATCCGCGAGGCGTGCATCACCATTGCCTACATGTCCAAGACGCTAAGAAATAAGCTGGATACCTTCGCCTTCGGCATCCTCGAGCAGCTAATCAACCTGATCCAGAACAGCGCCAAGGTCATAGCCTCGGCTTCCACGCTGGCCCTCAAGTATATCATTAAGTACACGCACTCCCCCAAGCTGCTGAAGATCTACACGGACACCCTGCAGCAGTCCAAGTCGAAGGACATCCGGGCGGCGCTCTGCGAGCTGATGGTGTTGCTGTTCGAGGAGTGGCAGACCAAAGCGCTGGAGCGGCATGCCACCGTGCTGAGGGACACGTTAAAGAAGTCCATAGGCGACGCAGACAGCGAGGCCCGGCGGCACTCCAGGTGCGCCTACTGGGTCTTCAGGCGGCACTTCCCAGAGCTGGCGGATCAAATCTATGGCACTCTGGACATAGCGGCGCAGAGGGCCCTGGAGCGGGAGCGAGAAGGCGGCGGTAGCGGCAGCAGTTGTGGGACTACAGTGGATTCCCGACGCACTGTGTCGCGGATCGGCAGGGCGCCTGGAACCCTGCAGAAGCCTGCAGCCAGCGTCAGATCCATTTCGGCGGTGGACACGGCAGCCGCGCAACGAGCCAAGGCCAGGGCGCAGTATACGATGTACTCCCGGTCGAAGAAGCCTCTCCTGCAGAGCAACTCCACACAGGGCTCCGGAGCGGGAGGAGTTGCATCCGGGTCGCTGCCCAGACCACGTCTGAACTCGAACAGTGGCAGCACACCGGCCGCCACCCCTGGAACGGTTACGCCCCGCACCAGAGGCCGGGCCGGAGTGTCCCAATCGCAGCCGGGATCGCGTTCTACCTCGCCAAGCACAAAGCTGCGGGATCAGTATGGCGTCGGAGGTGTCTATTATCGCGGAGCTACCGGCGCCATCCCCAAGAAGGCCTCCGGAATACCAAGAAGCACGGCCAGCTCGAGAGAAACGAGTCCCACACGGTTAGGCGGCGGCCTCATGAAGCGAAGCATGTACTCCACGGGAGCAGGTGCCCGCAGGACGCCCGAGAGGAATAACCCGGTTAGACCTTCGGCAGCTGCTCGACTCCTGGCACAGTCCCGGGAAGCAGAAAACGTACTGGGACACGGCGAGGACGGACAAGGCGATTACGTGTCCGGAGACTATATGCGAACCGGAGGGATGCGGATGGGCAGGAAGCTGTTGGGACGCGACGAGTCGGATGACATCGATTCGGAAGCCAGTTCCGTTTGTTCGGAGCGCTCGTTCGACTCCAGCTACACCCGGAACAAGTCCAACTACTCGCTCAGCGGCAGTCACACCCGCCTGGACTGGAGCATCCAGAGGGCACCGCTGGACGACATCGAAACTATCATTTCGTACTGCGCCAGCACCCACTGGTCGGAGCGGAAGGACGGGCTGATCAGCCTCACCCAGTACTTGGCCGACGGCAAGGAGCTCTCCCAGCAGCAGCTGCAGTGCGTCCTGGACATGTTTCGCAAGATGTTCATGGACACCCACACCAAGGTGTACTCGCTGTTCCTGGACACAGTCACAGAGCTCATCCTGGTCCATGCCCCCGAGCTGCACGACTGGCTCTTCATCCTGCTGACGCGGCTGTTCAACAAACTGGGCACCGACCTCCTCAACTCGATGCACAGCAAGATCTGGAAGACACTCCAGGTCGTCCACGAATACTTTCCCACACAGCTGCAGCTGAAGGAGCTGTTCCGCATCATATCGGACTCGACCCAAACGCCAACCACAAAGACCCGGATTGCCATCCTGCGGTTCCTCACGGACCTAGCCAACACCTACTGCAAGAGCAGCGACTTTCCCAGTGACCAGGGCCAGGCCTGCGAGCGAACGGTCCTGAAGCTGGCCCAGCTGGCGGCCGATCAGAAGTCCATGGAGCTGCGCTCCCAGGCGCGGAGCTGCCTGGTGGCTCTCTACAACCTGAACACGCCCCAGATGACCAAGCTGCTGGCCAACCTACCGAAGGGCTATCAGGACTCGGCGCTCACCTGCATCCGGTCGCACATGCGCCGGCAGAGCCAGAGCGGCAACTCGGGTGCCAACTCGCCAAGCAGCTCGCCGCTGAGCAGCAGCAGTCCCAAGCCGCTGCAGAGCCCCTCGGTGGGCCCGTTCGCCTCGCTCCAGAGCCACCACCAGCTCAGTCTGAGCTCAACTAGTCCCCGTTCGCGGCAGTCCTCCGTCGAGCAGGATGGCTCTATGCTGGAGCTGGACGCCAGCATAATCCAGCACATTCAGAAGACCTCCGAGGAGATCCGCACGGTCTTCGGCGGTCAGTACCAGATGGCACCCAACGGCTTCAACGGCCATCTGCAGTACCACGATCAGGGTCACCAGGACTCGTGCGCCTCCCTGTCTTCCAACTCCAAGACGCAATCCTCGGCCAACACCACCCAGTCGAACACTCCCGAGTCGGCCACCATGCGGCTGGACAATCTGGAGCGTGATCCCCGAACCGGACACCTGGGATCGTCGGGGAAATCTCCCCAGCCGGCGGTCGAGGGAAAGCATATGCTGGTGTCCTACACTAACGACGGCGAGCTCATCCTTCCCGGTGATCTTACCGAGAGCGAGGTTGTGAGGATATCGCTTACCCTGACCAAGGACCAGCCGGTCGAGCAGCTGCAGACGGCGCTGACCAACCTGGGCATATGCATCAAGGGCGGCAGCTGTGAGCTGCCCAACAAGCAGTTCCGATCGATAATGCGGATGCTCCTTAACATCCTGGAGGCGGAGCACACGGATGTGGTGATTGCCGGGCTGAATGTGCTCGGAAAGATAATGCGCAGTGCCAAGATGCGCCACAACTGGCTGCACTTCCTCGAGCTGATCCTGCTGAAGATCATACAGTGCTACCAGCACAGCAAGGAGGCGGCGCGCGAGATCGATTCAATGATCCCTCGAATAGCGCCGGCTCTCCCCCTGGATCTGTCGATTAACATTGTTAATCCGGTGATTGCGACGGGCGAGTTCCCCACGAACCTCTGCGCCATTAAGATTCTACTGGAGCTGACCGAGAACCATGGCTCCGAGATCACGGAGACCCACCTGGACATCGTGTTCCCCAACCTGGCCAGGTCGGCGGACGACACCCAGTCGATGGTCCGCAAGGCGGCCGTCTTCTGCATCGTCAAGCTGTACATCGTCCTGGGCGAGGAGAAGGTGAAACCGAAGCTGACGGCGCTCAATCCCAGCAAGGTGCGTCTGCTGAATGTGTACATCGAGAAGCAGCGCAACACCAGCGGAGGCGGAGGCGGAGGAACCTCCACTAAGAACTCGTCGGCGGCATCCTCCTCATGATTGCGGGCGGAGTACCTCCATCGCAACAAATAAGACACGGATGCGGAGGACGTTAGAGGATGTAGAACATTAACTAATTATTATTTAAAACTAATTATTGCCGAAGATCCGATTCGATCAAGATCACCATAACGATACCGATAACGCTACTGATCTGTAACAGTTTCACGCGAATATATATATATTAAAGCGGCGATTAGAAACGGAACAAACTATTTATATGTGAAGATGTACAGGGGCGCTAAGCGATGAGCCAGCCTTGTGTACTAAAATTTCTTAAAGTGTAGCCAACTCTCTCCTCAGCACCCACTTACCCACTCACCCTAACTCTAACCTTATAAAGAGGATGACCCGCGGATGAATCGCTCAGTTATATGTGTTGTATCTGACCCTCGAACTATTGAGCCAGCTTCTGTTTAGTTTGTAAGACTCTATCGCTTTTGTGAAAGGATAACTTTTGTATTTTAGTTCCAGTCACCTTCGTATCCTTATTTCTGATTTCCGCTCAACTAAATTGTAACTACTACTCTACGATTACTACTATTCGCTCCTCTTACAACCGAACTATTTTTGTAATTAATTTAAAAACACAAAAAACCCACACAAATGATATAAAAACAACAATAAACACTTCTAGGTTATGTAATAATATTTATAAATTAATTAAACGAATAAAACAGTTAAACAAAAAACAATCCCAAAAATACATATATGTAAACAACCAGTTAGCATTTTATTTACCAATTCTAATCGTTTTCCATTTCGATTTCGATTTATTTGCATAAAATTCAAACTTTCAAATATTTATGTACACATTTGGACTTAATTATACTAAATACTTGTTTTTTTTATTATTTGATTTCTTCTCGGTTTAAGATCCTCCATTTAATATTTATTTTTGAAAGGGGGGGTTTTGTTTTTTTTGGCATAAAATCTCGAACGCCACATAGACTTTGATTTTCCATTTTAGTTGGGGTGAGTAGTTAACCCTTTATATTAACTACCATTTAACTAGTTATTTTAATCGCTATTAAACATTTTTGAATGTTGCTCGATGTGTTTGGAATTTCGGTTGTTTTTTCATTTCAATAATTTCGGTTTTGTCGTCCATTTGATTTAGAAATTTTGTTGGGCCCATTTGAAACCTGAACTTGGTTGTTTTTTTCCTTTCGCTCTACAAGTAAATCATATACAAACTCCTTACGCTCATCATTACTCATCATTTATCCACGCACAAATATTAAAAAAAAACATCAATTAAATTAAGGCACTCAAATACAACAGAAATGAATAAATTGTTAGTAAATCGATAGAGGATAAAATCAATTTTTCGCCAAGTACAAAGATTTTGTAGTGCGGTGGTTTCGACTTTCAATTCGAGTGTGTGTGTGCGTGTGTGTATCCTGTAGCCAGTAGCCTGTGTCCTAGACTAAAATGTACTGGATTGCTTTAACATTAATCATCCGTAGTTAAACTTTAATTTGTATTGTACATAAACGTAATTCCTAAATTGTGGTGTTTTCATTAAAGATATTTTTCAATGGCACATATTCTTTTCTAATCTTAAGACTTTTCTAAAATGTGTATTTTTTTGGTTCCTCTGGAGTGGGGAACGGGTGCTGTAAACTATCTCTGGAGTGTCCATCAAGAGTAGAAGTTGAGAATAAAACTCGAAAATTTTTAGATCCCTTCCACCAACTGCCCAAGTAGTTCTTCCTAGACCTAGATTACGAAATGCAATTGTATGTACAGTGGGATTAGATTTCAACTTATGGCTTTGATTTAAAATACATTGAACTACTTAATTGATTATTCAATTTACATGTAGATGCTTTGCTAACAATATTTTGGCTTTTTGTTTCTCTTGTCTTTTTTTGTTTTTTTTTTTAGTTTTTAATTGTAAATTTTTGAAAAAGTCCCCGAACAACAAAAAAAACTCTTCAACGCTGGGGGGATTCTTTCTTCAATTTTGACCGAAAAAGGCACACACAGAGAATATCGAATGACAACGACTATGCACGACTACAACAACACTAACCCTAGACTATATATCCTCCCATAGATCTATCGCATCTAGTAGCCATTGCAGCGAATTTCCCCGTAGCGAGTTCGTCCTGCCGGTCTTCCCGCCCCATAGGCGGCATATCGCTCATACGCCATGTAGTCCGCCATTTCATAGCCGTAGCTGCTGCGCATTCTATTCCTTGGGTAGCCCGGGTTATTTGGTTCCTCATACGGATAGCAGTTGCTAGTGGGCGGCGTCGATGACTCGGCATAGCCTCCGGATGGGAAACTAATGGGCGAGCTGCTGGCATACTCCTCGGCCAGGCGCTCCACCAAGGACTCTGGAGTCTGCAGGAATCTCTCCGAGAAACGTCCGATTTCCGTGGAGCCAAAGGCCTGTAGAAATCCTGGCAGCGGTTTGATGTCCTGTTTGTAGTTATTTAAAGTTAAGTTTTAAGATTTTTAAATTTAACATTAGTGTCTTAACTCACCCTAATTTGTTCTCTAACCGTAGACTCCACTCCCTCCAAGCTTTCACTATCCCCAGGATCCTTTTTGGCCATCTTCCTTTTTGATTTCTTGCTCGGAATAAGATCGCACTCCATAATACGATTGCTGCTATTGCTGTTGCAACTGCTGCTGCTGTTGCTGCCCCGATTCCTGCCAGATGTTGCACTCCTCTTGAGGCTGTTGCCAGCCTGATGTTGCTGCTGATGCTGCTGCTGTAGGAAGGGAGCCAAAGCTGGTGGTATTGTAGTAGACTGGCCAAAACCAATGGGCGAGTTCTGGGGGGCAGGCGGAGTGCGCGGGCGCCGCGGCGTTGGACTCCAGTTGGCCGTGGCTGCTAACGTCACAGGATGTTGCTGCTGCTGCTGCTGTGGCTGTTGCAAGTGGAAACACAGAAAATCGATTTAGTTTTTTTCCGTGCCGTTTGCAGCTGCAGGAAACGAGGCAGCAGGAAAGTTGTTACGCTCAAGTGGTGAACACTTGAAGAACTTTGAGCTCCCAGTCCTAGGATTACCAATGCTCCACGCCTGCCCCCTCCAGCTAGCCGGCGCGTGCTCGCTGCTGGCAGCTCATGTTACCAGGCAACCCCCAAACGTGCCCCTACCCCCCCGAAATAAATCCCAACCCCGCTCTCAGCTCCAATTGAAGCCAACCAGCCAGTCAACCAACGTGCCATCCATCCAGTCAGCCAGCCAGCCGGGTGAAGTTCAACGTAGCGCCCCAAAAATCAATAGGCGCCCCTTTTTTTTGTCAGACACCCGGGACACCCTGTAACTAGTGGCTTCCGGCCCACGTCTTTCTCTCTTCTGGAGCTTTTTACGAGTGCTTTCTCACATTCTCTGGCTCTCTGGCCACCTCTCTCTCTACCTAGAAAGCCGGTCGATGGAGCTAAACGCATTTCACTTTTGGCCTTCTCTTTTTGGCCAACACATCGCACGTCCTGCGTAAAGGATGTTGCCTCGGCCCGCCAGTGGGAGGATGTCATTATCAGGCTCTCGTCATTTCGATGCTTTGCCCTAATTTGTGTCGATGCTGCAGCTCCGGCTCCCCTGATTTTCAATTAACCAACCTCCCGAATACCTCTGGGAATTTTTTGGTCGCCAGGACACGAAACCGCCATCCAATTGGCTTTTAATTAAATTGCTAATCCGGTCCCGCAGTTCGAACTGCACCTGCAGCTTTAATTTACCATTTTTCCCATCGCCGTAGTCACCGCTAATTCGATTTGATCCTTCACTTACCCCATGTCCTTCTGACTGCTCCTCCGAGGCTGCAGTCTCGTGTACTGGATCAGGAGCAGCCGTGTCCTGCGGTGTCGTGGGCCCATCCGTGGGTGTCTCCTTCTGTAAATTGATTTCCGCACGCCGTGCAACATCCGGGGGAGTGGGTGGTCGAGTTGGAGGTGGTGGCGGTGCCTTGGCAGCCTTATCAGTGGCTACTGGTGACGTCGCTGTCGCAGTCAACGGCGCTGCTGTCGCGCTTATGTCATCTGGAAAACAAGTTGGAAAACACCCATCGTCAGTTGAGGCAGCTCAGCTCAGGAGGAGTCGGAAGGAAAATCAATATTGCTAAAAAGATTTCGCTCGGGGGAGCCCATTGACGATTCCTGGGCCTCTAATTATTTTGTCATGCGTGCAGGCGGCTATCAAGGGTTCAAAAACCAGGCCCAGCCAATTGACCATTGGGAGGGTCACTGAGAAAAAATCAAGAATCAAGGAATCACATACCCAGCGAAGGTACTTGATCTGTTACTTATTTTTATGCAAGTTTTTTTATTTCAAATATCTGTATCTAAGAATTTTTTTCCTCAAAAACAGTATACAAATATTTTATAAAATAATTTAAAATATGATAGGTACTTTTCAGTAATATATCCTCTCCATTAGAAGCATATCCCTTCTTGTTCTTATTACTTTAACTGATTAAATAAATATTTTATAGAACACACTTCTTATTATACAGAAAAACGCCATTCGTTTTAGGCAGAGCTTCTAATTATTTCATAAATATTCAATTTTTTTCTCCCTGTACACTCGGAATCAAGCAGAAAAGGGCTTTTTCGCACGCGCTTATCAAATATTTTCCCCGAGGCCGGAGAGAGAGTAAGCGCTACCGTTACCGGAGAGGAAAGTCCGGAGAGTGTGATGGCACTTGTTGAACGTGCCACACACTCACCCATACTCTTTCACAGGTTTTGCGTGAGCGGTCTGACAATTCTGATGGGAATGAGCGGAAGTAGGAGGCGAGTCAGAACATCAACAAAAAGCATAGCGCACTTTTCGGCGCATGCGACTCGGCCTGCAATGTTTACGTATTTTCAACCCAGCTTTGGTAATATATTTTTGGCAGTTACTGCAATGCTTCCTCCAAGCTGCAATCAATTGCATCAATAAATCAATTATTTTTGCAAATATTCAAGTTAAGTTTTTCCAATAACCCGGTGATTTATTTGCTTAAAGAAGTCTGTTAATCAGAATTTATTTGACCTCTTTTTAATGTTGTTTTTTATCCGCTTTTGGCGGGAAACTTCAACTTTATTAAAAGGCCAACCACTTACTTATCCCTTGTAAGCCCTCGAAATTGCATTCGTACTTTTTTCCGCCAGCTGCACTTTATTTGGCATAACGGACATTGATTTTTGCCTCGGTGCTCGGAGGCCAAAGGTTGAGGTTGAAGTTGAATTCGAGCTGGTGGCTATTGCACCGGGGTGTCGTTCTTGTTCCACCCAGTCGATTATTACGTGTGTGTGCCGCTGGGTAGATGGGTATATGGCTAGATGGGTGTGTTTGCCGTCTGTGTGGGTGGTCTCGTCTGCCCCAAACGGTGGCAAAGCTGCAAAGGCAGTGGCTAAAAGCCAAAGCAGAAGCAACAGAAATGGCGGCAACCACCGCATTACGCTGTAAAGTTCATTTACATGCTGCCTGTGATGACATTTCACAGAGGGAAAGACACCCCTAGATACTACTCTGGGCATGTGTGAGTGCGGTGGAGGTGTGTGTAAGTGTGTGTGTAAAAGTCAAACGCCCATTGATAACGACGAAGCTCCACACAACCTGACAAACATTTACAAACAGAGAGATTGAATTTAGATTTAATAATTATGGTTTTTTAATAAAAAACATTTAAAAAAAAAACTGTCTTGTTGAATAGAAAATCTTAATAAAACACTTGCTTCAAAATTGCATTAAAGACGTTTTTTTAGTACCATTTTTTTCTCTCTCTGTACAACTTTTGTTTGCACTGCCAAACGTTTTGTGTGAAAAAAATGTCGGTGGGCTCGCTTCGCACCTGGTGGGCGTCACCACGCCCACAACCAACATTCACAGTTGACTTATTGATTTGGCACACACGACAAAAAAATTTAAAAGCACCTCATCACACACAGCAGTCTCAGGGATTGGCGTGCCTAAATAGACAGCTAATTTTGAAGTCCTCAAAAGCTAAAAGCCATGACGTAGGCCCTACACCACCCACACCTCCCAAACTCTAGCCCCCTTGTGACGGGAAGCGGAAGTATTTCAGCAGTTAACCAACGCTGATTGGTTGAGTGTTTGCAAAACGTCAGCTCTGTCAGGTTTTTCGAGGGACGATCACGGCGGCAGGGCAAAGCAACTGGAGGGCAGGAGGTGTGACGAGCTGGTTGGCAAGCCTGATGGACACCGCCGCTCGTCAGCAGCTCAGGAGCCCTCCTCCGGTCGGACGGACTGACATCCCGTCCACGCTGACAACGATGACGGCAACACGAACGGACAGTTCTTGCATTAATTTGCATGCGGAATCAAGCCAAGCACCGTGTCTGCACAATGGAACTCAAAGGATGTCCTGAAATACATATTTTTTGGAAAAAAAGAAAAAGTTTTCTATTTTATTTGATAGTTTTTTATTTGGTAAAAATCGTTTTTTTTTATGCACCTAACTGGGAATATTATGACTATTTCATGAGCGATTGAAAAACGCTATACCGTTTTGTAACCAGGGATCCAATCCGCTTCGATCTGCAGTCAAGGATCACAAAATTCAATAAAAAAAAAATTATTTAAAATTTTGCCCAAAATTATTAGGGTACCCCTTGGGAAAATTTTGAAAAATGTCCCAAAATTGGTATTGCCAGGTTTTGGTTGGGAATGATGCTGCTCAAAGTTCTGATATCGGGAAGGTATAACATTTAAGGATCTGACAAGTATTAGCAAAGTTATACACATTTTCCTTAGAGAAAATTCGAAAAATTTGAAAACACGTTTTTGAGTTTTTTTATTTTTTCAAAATCCGAAGTTTAGATCCACTTTTTAGCGGATATTTTGGGTATTTCGTAACCGATTCCAAAACAAAATACCATTCATGCATCATGGTTGTTCTGCGCTTCTTTCTACATCAAAATATTGAAAATATCAAACAAAAAAATTTTGACAAATTTTTAGCGAAAATCCTGATGGTACCCCTTGGAAAAATTTCAAAAAATGGCTCAAAATTTTTATTGCCAGGATTTGATAAGGAATGAAGCTACTCGGAGTTCTGAGATCGAGAAGGTATAACACTTCTGGATTGGCCATGTATTAGCCAAGTTATACAAATTTGTATTTGAAATTTAAAAAAAACTTCCCCGTTTATATTTCCAGATTTTAAATGTTCCAATTTAGGATTTTGAATATTTTTCTATAAAATCCATATCAAATGGTGGTGAAATGGTAACGATGTTACCCACTGTGCTTTCAATCGCTGATTTCAGTTGAAGTAACTGCTCGGGCGGCAGCTGCCACCCCTTGCTGACTGTAATACTTGTTACATAATCTGCCTTGACATATGTTTGCATAAATTTACGAATACTCCCTCGCGGCAGCGCATAATTGCAAATTAAATAGAGTGTAATGAACGGGCGACAGGGGCTCCGATAAAATAAAAGACAAAAAAGCTGACAACTTACCGGGAATATCGAGCGGAGTGTCGGATTGTGGCGCCCCCCTTCGCTCCTCCAGTGGGGGGTGCTCCTCCTCCTCGTAATCCCGCCCGTCTGCCGGGCAGTGATAAGGGACACAGGAGGCGGACTCCACGGACATGTTCACGGGATACTCGCCGCTGTAGACCGGCGTGCTCTGGCTGCTGTCGCTGCGGGCTCGGGTGCTGCAGTTGCTGATGCCGCTGTCCGTCCCGGTGGCGCTTATCATGGGCGGCGAGGTTGTCAATCTCTGGGCCGGAGACCCGGCTCCGGCCTCCACTTCTATATCGGGCTCTTCCAGCTTTGGTGTGGCAGACAGTGGCAAGTGTTGCTGCGGCTGGTGGCCGAGATGTTGCTGCTGCTGCTGTTGCAAGCTCGCGTGCTCATTGTAGCCGCGTAGTGGCTCCATGTAGTTTGGTGGCAAGACGGTGCGGTTCGGCGCTGGGGTGGAGGATCTGCCGGGGGGCACGTATCCGGCATAGCTACCGAATCCCCGGCTCTGATATGAGGCGGAAGAGCTGTAGGGCGAGGGAGCAGGCTGCTCGTAGCCAGGATGCTGCGGCTGGTAGGCTGGATGCGACCTGGGCGGGTAGTGGAGGACGCTGGAGGGGATCAGTTGCTGGCCGGCGGGCGTGAACATGCCCTGGTGGTGCTGACTGTAGTGCGGCGAGGCGTACGGGGCATAGCGATAGTAGTTGGGCATGTAAGACGCAGCGCCGGAGGATCCGTAACTGTAGCCGCTGTACGGGTGGTAGCCGGTATAGCCCGATCGGTAGGGTTGCGGTGGATAGTGCGACATGGCGGCGGCGGCGGCGTGGGCACCCGGATGGGGCGAAGGATAATGCGGCTGATCGTAAAAGCTGCCCGGATATCTGTCCGACATTTTCCGCTCTCAATTCTTCCGTTCACACCCTTCCGTAGCTCCCAGCGGTTGCTCACTTGTGGCAGCAAGACGTCGTTTGCCCTTCCATCCTGTGGTCGTCAGCCACCATATTGCCCGGTGTCCTCTCCTGTGATGGTGTCCTCTTACATGTGGCTATTATTGATTTTCCCTTTTAGCCACCTACCTACACACGCCAATCGCAAATCCTTTTGGCCGCTGCCCGTTATCCTTGTCCGACCACGCTTCACTGCCTTTTATTTATGCTGGAATCAATTTTCGCCACACTTGCAGTTTTCTTTGGAGCTCCTGCTATTGTCCTGCCGGAGAAAAAGGAAAATCGGGATGAGCCGAGTGGGTGGGTTTATTATCAGACGAAAATAGTGTGCACTTTAATGCCTGAATATTTGATGGCCGAACGGAAATGGGATGGTCGAGATCGTTAAACAGTTGTTCAGATGGAAATGGCGAATAACGAGACAATTGCGTACGAAGGACCACACAGACAATTCAATTAACATCGAGCCAATAACATTTTATGTTCCCTACATGGTCTGGATGTCCTTAAGGGGGTGTCTTGCTTACTTGCCAACAATTATCATACATATAAGGTGTATTTCTAAGGAGTTTCATATTCTATTCTTATAATTTTAGACTTTTGTTAAAAGTATAGTGCTATAAACTTCAATAAATATAAGAAAGAACTATAAACTTTACTATTTTCTTTAAAAAATATGTCAAAAACTAAACTCAATCTGTACCTACTTCAACCTCTATTTCTACGAAAATGCCAAAACCACAAAAAGCCCTCAAATGTGAATCCTTTAATGTGAATTTGAAGTGAATCCTGGCAATCCTGAAATTCCATGCATGCTAATAAGAGGCTGCTACTCGCCAAATATCCCCGGCATGTTGTTATGTATAAATTACGGACGTCGTGCAACGACTCTGACTGAAGATGCCCCATTTCAAAATGGGGGGGTGGCAAGCACTCTGGCGGGTGCATCATCTGACGGGCCATGCGCAAAATTCCGTTTGTTTTGCACTCACGCAGTGGCAGCTGCAGCTGCAGTTGCACAGCCACCGCAACAACAAGTGCAACAAAAACAAACAGCCACTCAACTTATCGAGCGCATCTCGCACTCACACACACTCATACACAATCGTAGACCCAACCCTCTGCCAACACCAACGTCCTCAATGAATAACCACATGCATTTTGGCCGCATGCAAAACCGTTAATGAGCCACAAAAGTGCACACATCTGGAGTGGGATTGATAAGGGGCAGTGGAAGTGGCAGGGGGGCGGGGGTCATGGGAGCGCTATAAAGTGGTGGGGATTGGGCGGAAGGCAACGACGTTCGTCTTCCAGCAGCTTCTCTTAAGCGCCACCCACTTACAGGACATTACACATCGGCCCACATCAACATTGACACTCGGAAAAGGGTCTATCAGGAATTGCAAACATCAGGACGTGAATATTAAATATTAATAGATTTTTTGCCTTAAATATATGTCTGTTATTTGGATTTACTAATAATAATATTAAGTTTTTATATCATAACTCTATACCTAGTTTCTAAAATCTAAATTAAGAATATTTTCTTCATAAAGCCTGTAATATCTTTAATCCTGTTTAATATTATAATTTTTTACTAACAATTTTCTCTCAGTGTACCCTACACTAGTAAGTACTTCTGTAAGCTTGCGCTTGACGTGTGCGTTTATTGATTAATAAACTTTTTTTGTGCAAAAACACCACACACACCAACACACACTAACACACAAAAAAAAGGCGAAAAATAATAATTGAAGGCAATCGCTAGTGGGTGATTCAGAAGTTCAGAAGGTGGCTGGGAAACCTGTTTATTGATTGGGGAGCCGAAGCGGGTGACGCTCTATGTGATGATGACGATGATGTCCTGCCAGCAAATTAGCAAGTCGAGAGGCGGGGGAGTACCGTGGGGTAGTACAACTCTATTAGCACAGTCAAACACGGGGGCGGGGGTGGATAACATAATCAATGTAAACACAAGCTGGCCAAGAGAGAGAGAGCCCGCGAGCCGAGCCGGCTGAAAGAGCTAAAGAGTGTGGGAGAGAGGATGCGACAGAGCTTCCAGAAGAGAGATGGGAGAGCTTTCCCTTTTGGGCTCAAAAGGGTTAGGTGAAACAAAAACCGTTGCCAGTCGTGGCCGTAAATGAAATGAGCCTCGAAATAAGTTAAGCAATTGCAACCTATACCAGCCAGCAAGGAAGAATGTCTGGCTCTCTCTCTCTCGGTCTCTCTATTCTTTGGATTCTCTTTGGGTGGCAGGAAACGGAAGTCGATGTAAATGCTGGATGCTGCCTGACTGCTTGCTGCCTGTATATGTACGTGCGTGATGGTATGTATTGGTGGTGCCTCTTTTTGGGACAGTGCGACACAACAGCAGCAGCAGCAGCAGCAGCAGTAGCACCAACAGCAACAGCCTCCCACTCACTGCCGAGTATATAAATCAATAAAAACAGCAGCCCGAGACGGGTGTTCGCCTCAGCTCTTGCACTGTTTCCATTCAACTCGGCCTGGTGTTCTGTACTTTATTTTTTCCATATTTTCCATCTTTTTTTTTGTGTTGTTTTTTTACGTCCAGCCGTAGCAGCACCATGGAGGGACAGGGCTCCTGGTGTACACAATCATTACACGGACCCGCGCGCGTCACACGCTGCGTATGTGCAATGTGCTTGAGCTTGCAAATGCGATGGCGCTGGAACTCGATGGTGTGCGGAATATACCGATTTTAATTGAGTTGCTGCTGCGAGCAGGAGGATTTCCAATAATTGGGGCAAGACAATAGGCAAGTGTGGGTGTTGCCAAAAATTGTGTTTCTATCTAAGCTTTAATTTAAAAAATTTTAAATGCCATTTCAAACTATAATTTTAGAAAATCTAAAACAAAAAAATTATTCAAACCGTGTTTTAAGTTTCCTGATTGAAATATTTAATTCTTAAGAATATATATTTAAAAATTATTAGTTAACAGTTATAAATTTAATTACCTTTATTAAGTTTATGTATTTCCTTTTTTTTAAACTTTAATTACTTTTTATATTTTCCACTAGCTTTATTTAATATTTTTTATTTCGCCCAAAATGTTTCAGCTTTATTAATTCCTCGCGAAAATTCAATTTTCACAATTCCAAATTCAATTAAAAACCTCTCTGGCGATTTCAAAAACTCTCCCCACGCACCATTAGGCGAAATACCGTTAAATTTGAAAATGTTGCCACAGTTCACAATAACCGCGATGGCGAGAGCCACTTTTCCGATTTCCGACTAAGAGAAAACTCTTGGCACGCGAGGAAAAATCGAAGAGCGGCCGGCGGCCCAAAACGATCGGTGGAGCACAGTTCTCGGCGACGTGCGAAGGCCTACCAAGCTGTGAGCTGTGCGCTCTATGGCCGTATGGTTGCGATATTACGTATACGCTGCGTGTGCTAGGCACGCTATAGTCCAACAGACTGAAACGCGATACGTGGACGCGCTGCCATTTATACACCGAAGGCCCCAGCTGGCAAGAAGCAGAAAAGCTGGCAAAAGACAGGCAGCGAAAGGAGCAGACGGAAAATAAAGCAACCAAACGAGCGGGGGGTGGGGTTGGGGGAAAAAAAACTAAATGAAAAACAGAAGCTGCTGCACTGGGAACTTTGTGACCCGATTCGATGGGCAACCTGCCCACGAGCGAGCTTTTCCCGAGAGCCGAGGGCGGAAAACACACTGCAGTCCGTCTCGCGTTCTCTCTTGCCTCGTTGGGGGTGTCCTCTCCCGAATCCTCTCGCAAAAATGCCATTTCAAACTATTCGCTTTGCTTACGAATTAGAGCACAAAACAGAAATCAAACCAAAACAGAGCGCCAGGAATCTAGAACGTGGCGTTACTTCTAATGAGATGGCCCAAGGAGAGAGAGTGGCCACGAGAGCGAGAGAAAGCAGGGAGTGCGCAGCGAAAAATTTCGCTAGAGTCCCGCTTGGGGGTTTCCCACGTTCAGTGTGAATGAGGTATGTATAGGCTCGATTTATCGATGTCCGGGCCACGGATTTCCACCAATATGCGAAAAACCATAGCTCGCTTTTCAGCGCAAACGGACCGGACCTCAATAAGGAGCGGTTAGCGGTTCCTACCGCCTTCCGTGAACGTGAACCTGTGGCATTTGGCCAACCCAGCTTATGATGACCGATAAGCGGAAACTTTTGAACTTTTGAAAGATTAGTCGGTATTTCACAAGGTTAAAAAAATAGTAGCTTTTGCAGGTAGTATCTTTTTTTTATTAGAAATATTATTCTTTAAAGAGTTCAGCTACACCATTATAGTTGATGTTTGAGGTAATTTTAATAGTATTTGAATAAGTATATTTAATAGTTTGTTTTTAGAATCTTATTTACGCTTCAACAAATGATCCTTTTTAGAAAACTATAAGTTCTTGAGTACTTCCTATGAAAACCTTTTACAGTTTTGGTATCTAACCTAAAGGTTCTATTAGAATAGTCTTTTAATTTATTTTTTTAAAAACCTTTTTTTATTTTAGAAAAAAGTACCATTTTAAAACATTGGTACCAGTCTATAAGAGAAAAGCCCCACAATTTCCCTGAAAAATTTTAAGTAAGACCCCTACCATATTTTCAAAAACGCCGGAGCAATCCTATAATCAATTTTTGGGAGTCCCCTTCCGGCTACGCGCCTGGATTACATGAGCGGGCTCCTGTAACGCTGCCTTTGGATAATGGACACCCACTGCGCAACCTCCACTCTCTTGTAGCATTCTTTTTTTTCGCCGTCTTCTCTCCGTGGAAATGCACGTGTTTGTTGCGGTTTTTCGGCATGCCGAGCCAAAGCAGAAAGGAAAGCCCTCAAAATATTTGTGGGCGAGTGTCGGGAAAACGTAAACAAAGCGTGTGCGCACGCAACGATATATTAGAGTGGGGTAGGATGGATATCCTCTTTCGCGTGTTCTGTCGGGGATGTTTCTGCTATTGATTGCATAGACGACAAACAGGGTGCTGCTAGCTGCTTTAACCAGTCTTTCTTTAAGGACATCATACATTTGAAATTTTACAAGTAGTCAACAATAAATGATAAAAATGGGTTAGGAAAAATGCAGGATAGGGTAACGACTCCTATCCGAACCAGTGAGCACCCATGCAGTCGCGTGTCCATTCAGTTTGGCAGACCCAACACCACTCGAAGCCGCAGCCGGCGCGTGTGCAGACCATGTGCATACAGCCTCCTGAAATGGGATATGGGGATGGTATAAGTTACCGATTACGTCTTGGTTCACCCACTCCACTTACCATCTCGCTCTGTGGGCGTTCGACATTTGGGACAGGGTTTGGTGCTGACTTTGATGGTGACATTGCTGGCCTCTTCCCAACGGGCCTCGGCGGCTCTCTAAAAAGTTGATAGATTAGCCAAATAATCACCATAATCATAGCCTCAAGAAAATGACTTACATTCGGGTCGACGGTATACTCGCAAGAGTTCTGCGACCTGGAACCCACACCCTCCGGCAGACACTCCCCAATATGATAGCCCTGCAGGCAATTGCGGCAGAATACGTAGCCACAGCCATTCTGGCAGGTAACCTTTCGGCAATCAGGCTCGACTAGTAGGCCCATTCCACATCCCGGCTGCGGGCATAGAACTCCGCCAGCCTGCAAGACATACTCCTCGGTAGCAAATCGCTGGTACCTATCATATTCCTCGCGGGTCAATAGCTTAAAATGGTGAATCTCCTCGATAAATGAGTGCTCACAGCCAGCCGGGCATGGCAAAGTGTATCCAAAGTCTGGATGTGGCATAAACTGGCGTTCGCTCAGGCGGGACCGGCAGTAATGACGAAAGCAGTCGATGCAGGTAACATGCTGCGAGGCGCACGGGAAGACCAAAACAGTATCGCTGTTGGTTGGAAAATGGAAATATTTGATATTTTAAGATATCGAAGTTAACAATCACCTTATATCTGTGCAGGCAAGACAAGGCACATCTTTGATATTATTCTTGATTAGGTTGAGAGGGGCAGCGAAATCTTTTTCGCCCCCCGAAACATGCTCGGCGCACTTGAAGAAGAACTCTGCGAATGGAGGATCTCCAGCCTCATTGTCGACACAGGCAATCTCCAGGCTCTCGCAGTGACCGGGTATACGGCGTGACTTCAGGACATCGTCCCAGCACTCGGGATCGCGGTGGACAGTAAAGGCACCGCCTTTGCAGAGCGAGCAACGCACTCGGAGCTTGCCATTACATAATTTGTCGCACTGACTGCAATGGACAAAGAAGTGGGCTTTGGCTCGGACTCGTTCTGGAAGATGACAGCACAAATTAGTCTTTTAGAGATTGAATAACTGAAATATTGCTAACCCTCGTCGGTTATGTTCAGCCTTTCCTCGCTTTCCAACTGTAGATCCAGCAGGGTTTCGTTCAGCGGCTTGGAGGGCTCTTCCAGCGGTGCTGGCTCCTCTTCTTCCAATGTGGCTGATTCGATTTTCTGACGTCGCACTGGCGGACGCTGGCGGATGGCGTGCAGGACGCTCTGCTGACCCAAATCGCACTGCTACTGAAAGATCATAAGAGTGAGAATACTGCAGGGGATATTAGAAATGGATGTGACTGTCATGACTGGCGTAATGGTGGGTTATGTGTATCCAATCCATCTTACCTCTATGGTGGTGGCATCACTCAGCTCCTTTCCGGCAAAGATTATCTTGACTTCATCAGGCTGAAGTCCCAGCTGCGGCGCCACAATTTCCTTAACGTTTTTAATGTCCCACTGCGGCTCCAGGTTGACCGAAAGCGTCTTTCCCGTGTTGGTCTTGACGTAAATGCTGAGCGTGTTGGACAGTGTCTTGCCTCCAAATTGCAGAAGCTCGAGCATTTTGCGTACAAAAGAGGCAATAAAATTAAAAATAAAACTCATTTGTTATCAGATGGGATGTAGTGTGACCGTTTACGTAATCAAATGAACAGTGCTTCGAAACGGTAGATACTTACTCATTAACCAACACCAGGCAGCCATTCTCAACGAAAGAGGAAGAATTGCGCTAAATTGAAAAAGCTTGGGTACAAAAAAGTTTTGTTTACTTCATAAAAACTGGTAGAAATTATGACTGGATTTTGTTACAAGGAAATAAATGGCGACTTGTTCAGTGCCCAGAAAGACTATTCGTTGTGTCATTGCGTGGCAGCTGACCTGAGGATGGGAAAAGGAATTGCGGTGAAGTTCCGGTAAGCTTACAAGAAGTTTATTGAATTTTATTGACATAACTCTGTATTTTAATGATTTACATTTCGCCGTGGGTACTTTATCCTTTATCCGAGTCCTTTATTAGATAATCATTAATTTGTCTTAAATTATTAGAGATTGTCTTCTGTTATGGCAACAACAAAGTGAATTCGCAGTTAATCCTCTTGGTTTTTGTTATTCCTTTTTGATTTTACACTTGAAAAAAAATCACTAATAATTAAAACATTTTCAGCAACAAATTCGGCCAGCTTTTAAACCTGCAAAAACAGAATGTACAGCCAGGAGGTGTAGCCATTCTCCAGGACCAACAGCGTTATGTGTACTATCTGGTGACCAAGAAAACCAGTTGGGGTAAGCCCACCTACGAACTCCTCTACAGCTCCTTGTTGGCCATGCGTCAGCATATGGTAAGATTGATCCCAATCCCAAATCCCTCTCAATCAAAATTCTATATCCCACTCTATTATAGATTTCCCACAATGTCCCCAAGCTGGCCATGCCCCGTATAGGCTGCGGTTTGGACGGCCTCAACTGGAGCAAAGTAAAAGAAATGGTGTGCCAAATATTCCAGTCAGATGCAGTGGAAATAGCTGTATATAATTATGTCGCAACCCAAAAGTAAATGTCACAAGTCAAAATATAACATTATTTGCTCTGCGGCGGCACAAAGTTGTAGACCACAATTTCTAGCTCCTCCTGGCCGAACACGTACTCCAGGATGTTGCTAACTTTTTCCCACTCCAAGCCATCGATTCCACAGCCAATTCGAGGGATAGCCAGCTGATGAATTTTATTTTTACGCTGTTTTAATGAAGTTAAATATTGTTAAGTTTTTATATTAATTGGAAGTAAACTCATAATTAATTTATATTTACCATGTGTTCGCGCATTTGCTCCAAAGAAGCCTGCAGGGATTCATAAGTAGGCTTGCCCCAACTCTGTGGCTTGGTGACCAAATAATAGATATATCGCTGGTCATCCTTCAGGACGGCAACCTCTCCACTGCCAGCGTTTTGGGCGCGGAGTTCGTCCACCTTGCCATAGACCTGCTTGAACTTCACAGCAATGCCAGCACCCATGGCCAGGTCAGCTCCCACGCAGTGGGCCAGTGAATGGGTTTTTGGGGCCGAGAAGAGATCCCCTTCTACCTCGCTGAGCTTGTAGCTTGATTGAGATGCCATGCCGACCACAAATCCTCGTCGAAATGCTGCGCGCAGATCTAGAAGATTACGAGAATACATTTTCTGTAACGTTTTTGTTAAGAGTTGAATGATGTCAGGAACGTACTAGATTCTAAAATGTAAGATTACTTAAAAAGAATCACTGGAAACAATACAAATTGAGTAATACATGCAACATGCACCTTAATGAAACACTATTATAATTTCTAAAATTGTTTAAAATGTCTTTTTTGCTTTTATTTTAATAATAATGGATAAAATTGAAGGTTTAAAACATCTTAGAGATAAATTCTTATTGACTATATAAGTATTTGGTGCATTTGGTGCCACAAATCCCAAGCAAACCAGTTCGAGTGCTATACGTAGAATTGCTATATACAGGGGTTATTTTGGAATTCAAAAGGGAGTCTTCTCGCGATGGAGCGACTGTCGAGATGCGGATCTCGATGGAATCTGGATAGTCTTTATGTGCCGGCACGTAGGACAGACGACGTTCAGCTTGTCCTGGGACATTTGTGGAGGTGTATAGAAGAAGGCGATTATGTCAACGTGGTCATCGGCAAACACCAAATCCAAGAGGCTGCGCACTCGCAACCAATCCAGCCGATCAATGCCGCATCCCAGACGGGGAATAGCCAGTTTGGTGACCCCATGCTCCCTCTGGGAATGGAAAGAGTTAGGGGTTATCCAGCTAAGTTAAGGATAAGTCTACTTACCATGTGCTCTCGCATGGCCAGCAAAGCGTAGTACAGGGCGGTGTAGGTGCACTTCTCGTGGCTTCGCTCCTTGGTCACCAAGTTGTAGATGTACCGGCCGTTCTGCTCCAGCACTGCCACGTTGCCGGTGTGCCTGTTCTGACGCTTCAACTCGTCCACTTGGCCGTATTTGCAGCGGAACTGAAGATTAATCCCAGCACACATGGCGAAGTCGGCACTGACCGAGTGCACCAAAGCGTAGTTCTCCGGCGCACTGAACAGATTGCCCCGGGCCTCCGTAATCTGACACTTGGGCGCAGCCAGCTGTGGATTGAATTAGGTTTAGCCAATTGTTCTCGATTGAGATCACGGATGACTCACCTCCTTGGACAAGTCGTCGTGCTCGCAGACGAGTATCTCGATGGGATACTCACTGTTGGCGAATGTTTGTTGCACCAGACGCTTCACTTGCCTCCACTCCAGGCCGTCTTTGCCGCAACAGATCCGGGGCATGGCCACTTTTGTGATCTCGTGGTTGCGCTGTGGAGCAATAAATATTCTTTTTAATTAAAAATGATGGCATTTCATTGAAGAGATAATTGATAAAGCTTCTATAAGATTGAACAAAAAGATGATTTTTGAATTAAAAAGTTATGAAAGCTCTTATAAATATTATAAAGATTTACCCCTTATGATTTCTTTTAAAGTAATCGGATTTTTTTGAATAATAAATATTTAAAAATCATTTTTCTGACCTTTTTAGGACAAAAAACATTTGATTTAACTTAAATAGTTATGACAGCCATTATAAAGATGATTAACTATTCCCCATTATGTCTTCTTCGTTCCAAATTTTTCATAATAATAATTTTACTTTCTCCTATGCTAATTTTGAGGGACAAAACGTATTTCCTGTATATCTTTTACCGAAATCAACTTGAAAGATACTGTATCTCATTGTACAAATAAATTAACTGTAAATTGGTGAAGGCAGTAAACCAGTTCCCCAAGTTCTTTTTGGGGGAAATGTCACTTGCCACTGCTCCAGACCCACTCCATTACTCACCATATGTTCCCGCATACAGATCAGAGCCGCCTGGACGTCATCGTACGTGCTGACATCGTACAGATTGGACTTGGTTACCAAATAGTAAACAAATCTGGAGTTGTGCTCCAAGACGGCACAGTTCCCTCTGGCCACCCTGCGCTGACGCAGTTCATCCACATCCCCATAGATCAGGGCAAACTGCCAGGCCAGCGATCCCCGCAGTGCCATAAACGATGACTCCACGGCATGGGCCAGGGCATGGGTGTTCGGGGCCTGGAATATGTCCACCTTCGACTCCACGATCTTCACGTTCGCGGCAGCCATGGCGCACTGTACCGGCTGCAATTAAAGCGGAAATTATTCAGACTGTCCGTGTGTCTGTCGTTCAATGCCAAAAATGATTTTCGTACTTACGTGCACGCAGCGGTAACTTTCTCGTCGAGGTCAGTGGAACTCGCGATAAAAACTTTTTCGGCTTCGGAATGACTCTGGCTTTGGCTTTTCGAACTGCACAGAAACCAGAATGAAAACAAAGCAATTAGCGCTCGTTTCGTTTGGGGGGGATTCTGAACTGTTAGCGGCTAGTTGGGAGCTTGTTTGTTTATTTTTTTTTTATTTTTGGTTATTTCCCACTCCCAGTTGTTAATGAATCGACTGCCTCGGCCGGCGGTCTGCAGCGGAATGCGCATCGCACGACGCCAAAAGCCGGGGCGAAAGCCCAGCAAGAATCTTCAATCGGCGCGGCGGTGACAACATTTCGCCCAGAGGCGCCGCCGCGGGGGTGCTTCGAAAAATGATCAATGTCTACACGCAAAGAAATCAACAATTTATGGTTGATTGATGTCTACAGAAGCATGAAATGATTTATAAGTGATTTATAGAATTTTAAACCAAAGTTAGAGCTCGATTTATTGTCCGGGAAGTCGGTTTAAAAATGGAAATTACAAAGTTTTTTTTATTTTGAGAAAAAGTTTTTATAAGCAATATTTTTATGAACTTTAAACCGTATTTTTAAGTTTATTTCACCAGATAAGTATCTTTAAGATTTACTTCATATAATTATAATAATATACCATAATATTTCAAGCTTTAATATTCGTATAACTATAATAGTTTCCTTAGAATTATAGAAAATTCCATTTTTCCATTTACATTGTCGAATCCAATTTCATTTTATACAACAAAATATTGAATATATACTTGAGGTATAAGCTAAGCTTGTTCGATACTGACAGTTTTATAGTTTTTTTGGGCCATATATTTATTCAATCATAAAAAAAAGACAAAATAACCTGAGATAACGACAACTAAGTATAAAAGTACAAAGTTTTGTATGTTTTCTTTAATTAAAAGTACAACCAAATACTAGATTGTGTTAGAAAAATATATATCATTAGAAAACTAGTTGAGTAAAAGCTTAAAAAAAAGTAAAAAAACAGCTCCCTTTTTAGAAATTTGGTAAATATTTTTGTCCATGTATTAGCCACTACCACCATGCATGACGATCCATTGAGTCAGCAGCCAGCCCGTAATGATGATGATGATGCTAGTGTGATGATGATGACATACATGTGCTAGTAAGTGTTAGCTGATATCGGTTTGTTTGTTTGTTTTTAGCAACAGGTTGGTTGGTTGGACTTGGCATCGCCCAAAATCACCAAAGTGGCACTGTTGTAACTCCCAATTAAGAACTTGTGCACAGGTATTTTGATAGCGCTCCGCCGATAGCGATATATAGCCAGGCAGTCTATAGATTAGTGACGACGTATTGGATCAGATTGGAAAACAAAACACCTGTGCGTGGGCCCCTGTCAAAGGTAATCGGTTGTCCATGTGCTAATAGGGGCAGTCAACCTAGACTAGCCAGGTTATACTTTGCATGTATAATTATAAATATGACTTAAATTATTCGTCAATTGAGAGGCAGGTGAAATGAATGTACACACACGTACAAAAACCAGCAGTGCATACAAATAACCATATTAAGTGGCTAGTATATTTAAAACAAACAAAACAGGCAGCAATATAAGCTTAGATTATGGATGGGATAATAAAACAAAAGCCTCGAAAAAACAAAAGGGGTTTCGGAGTATTATTTTCCCCTACTATGAAATTTGTTTAAATCTGAATAATAACTTTCCATTAGAACTCAAAAACGTTAAAAATAACTGTGGCATAGGATTCAGTTTCGAAATTCAAAGATTGAATTCCACATAGTTATTAATTAGTTATTTTATTTATAAAATACCAATTGTAAATTTATTCAGAGGTATTTTTATTTTTCATTTTTACTTCCACCTCAATGAATAAATGCGAATTTTATATATAAATTGTTATTTTATCGAATACCATCAACAAAAACAGCAAAGGGCTTTTTAGGGCTCAAAATTACAGCGCGCCAAAACAACGTGGTCACTTTGTAACACTACATGTGGGCGTTAGCCAATACTATTGATTTGTAGCTTTTTTTGCAAAAACAAAAATAAAAACAATCATGGGGAAACACAATTGTTTATGCTTTTAAAAACTTTTAACTTTTTTTTGACTCATTTTTACACTTTTATCAACTTTTTTATGGGTTTAGAAAACATAAAAAAAATTGTGCCCGCTTTTTATTTGGGCTTTTTTTGTACGCATGTCGCGCGGCAGCTTTGAATCAATTTGTTATATTTAAATCTCGCTTTTCATTCGCGGGGCACCTTGTGGAGGAAAAAAGGAAAAGCGATAGCCAGCACAGTTCATGGCAGTTCAGATTGTCACTCCGACGGATCCGGATCGAGGAGCATTATTTCAGCTCTGGCTGCTGATTTCTGATTGGAATTTTGCGTGCAAATTGGCACCTTTGCTGTGTTTGTTGTTGTTGTATTAGTTGTTGTGCAAATTACATAAGTAGCGTGCTGTTTATTTGTTAGCATTGGAATACATTACGTAGTAGTGGAGTAGTTTTTGTTAAAATCGTTAACATTCGGTTGTATCTTCTGGGCAATTAATCCGCGCGCGAGTAAATCTCCCAAGTAGAGCCAAGTAGAATACGTTGTGAGTCACTCGAATAACTAAATGAGAATAACTAAAAATTGCAGGCCAAAGCAAAGCTCACGTCAGCTGTTTTACGTTTACCGCCCCCTTTGCTCCTCTGTGTAGTAGTCGTAGTAGTGTTGCCTTTTTAGTTAAAAGTTGTTGTTGTAGTTATCTCAGTCTCTCCAACGTCTCCTCTCTGCCGCCTCTATATCTCTCTCTCTCAATCGGTTCTGTTTTGGTTACCATTTTTGTGGCTTTGTTTTCGCCTTATTTGCCATTTGCCGCCATGACTTCGATGACATTGCTGCCACGATCGGTTTGTGTTACCGCCCACGCCCACGCCCGAGCGTCCAACTGGCGGCGGTCCATTCCAGCGCTTCAAAGGCGCCATCAGCAATTGCACACTAGTGGGCGGCTGCCTGCACTTTTAGCCACAACAATAACAACAACAGCAACAGCAGCGAGGGCGCCAAATTCGCATGCAAATGGAAGCGGTAAGTTCAAAACTTTAATTATGCAAATTGCGCGTGCAATTGTTGATTTATGATGCTGTGCGTTTGGACTACAATCGACGAAAAGAAAACAATAAATGTTGAATCTATTTATCATTTGAAATGTTTATATTAAGAATAAAATAACTTTTTTGTTCGGCAACGGGTCGTATGAGTAATATGCAGGCGGCCATTTTGAGGTCAAGCTGCATTTTTTAAAGAATAGGGTCACACTTGAGTGTGACATATTCGTCAGCTTGACAACCCGGAAATTTTAAAATTTCGTCTGTTATCGCTTGCCTCTCTATCACTATTGCTCTCTCTCTATTTATTTCTGGTTTTTGGCAACATATTTCTTATAATGACTCCCACTTGTCTGTGCTAACGAATTTCTATACTCGTTTATAATTAAAACACAGTCCCAAAAAATATGTTTTCAAGCGAACAAGTGGCAGTTGTATAAAAAAAGGGGGACTGACTTTTAATGGGCCATGAAAATAAAACAATAAAAGGAATCGGAATGGAACTGGGCATTGGAGGCGTCACCGGGTCTGCCATACAGGTGGCACTAATCACCTTTTGATTACCTCGTTTTCAATTCATAAAATATGTACTCCTTTAATTTGTTGCGAAATAAAAAAACCGATTTGTATAACTGGTTTTGTTTCAATTGCCGTCCAATCAATTTAACACCCGCTGGCAAAGTGCGGGGATCGATCATTTTTTCGCTATTACTCAAAAAAGGTGTTAATTATCGTAGCGAATCGGTCATAAAGAATGTTTACCCAAGCCCCACAGTTGTTGATTATTACTTAATGTACCCATGTTTACTCCAGATTGATTGTGGCTAGACCTCTGAGTACTTGGAGTGAATTTTGGTGCAAAGCTGATAAGATAAGGGGGCGGATAGATGGGTGGAGAGGTTCTCGTAGAGCAGGGGAAATATTTAATAATTAACATCTCTGGGCGGTGGTTATTTTTATTTCTTCACTGAAAATATAATCTAAGTCGTGTCTGAGATGTTTAAGATAGTTGTTTGGTTAAATTAGTAGTTTAATTAAGCTTGGTTTTAATATTAATTTATTATTTAATGTTAGGGAAATGTTAAGGATGTTTCCCAATTGATGATCTAATCATTAGATTCTAATTTTCCATAAAATGTGTGCCTAATTGATATGTTATATGCCATATATGTACATACCCCTACTTCCATGTGGGCCTGAACTGTAGACGGAAAAGCCGATAAGATAAGACTGGCAGAACCATAAAATTAATCCAACGGGGTGTTGCCGGAGGGCTCTTATGTATTTGCCCATTTGTCAGACTCGCTTTCGTTGTGGAAGGTCAACATGATAATACAAATAGTTCGGATGGAGGAAAACAAACACACCCACCGCCCACACACCCCCACTATTTCAAATGGAATGCCCTAGAACGTCAATTCCCTTTAATTTAGAAATTTTAATTTAAAAGTACGACTATCATTTCCACGAGTGAAGTTCAAGGTCATTACCGGGCAGGCACAAGCAAACATTTGAAACCCACACACGCACCGCGTCAAAATAACTTGAAATACTCAAGCACAAATAATAAATAGACAGCGAGGCATATAGTAGGCATCATAATATAGACTTGCGAGCCCCCTATAATACAAAAAACAAGAAAGCAAAGCTAACTTCGGGCGGAGCCGAAGTTGATATACCCTTGCAGCTAAAACCGGATATATATTGCAAACATCGGATATAGTTGGCCAATCCTTATGATTACATCATAATAAAACCAATCAATTACAATAAAAAATCGAAAAAAAGTCCCAAGCTTCTATCTTCAAAAATACAAAAGTTGATATTTCTACCAAATACCATTTCCGATCGTTCAGTTATATGGCAGCTATAGGATATAGTCGGCCGATCCTAATGAAATTTTGTAGGTCGGATTAACTGACCAAAAATAGAATGTGTACCAAGTTCTAGCTTTCTATCTTCAAAAACACGAAAGTTGGGTCATTTCCGATCGTTCAGTTATATGGCAGCTATAAGATATAGTCGGCCGATCCATATGAAATTTGGCATGTCATATTATTTTGCCAAAAATAGCTCTCATGTCAATTTTTAGCCCTCTAACTCTAAAAACACCAAAGTTATACCATTTCCGATCTATCAGTTATATGGCAGCTATAGGATATAGTCGGCCGATCCGGGCCGTTCCGACTTATATACTGCGTGCAAAGGAAAGAAGGGTGTGTGCAAAGTTTCAAGTCGATAGCTTTAAAACTGAGAGACTAGTTTGCGTAGAAACAGACAGACGGACAGACGGACAGACGGACAGACGGACATGCTCATATCAACTCAGGAGGTGATCCTGATCAAGAATATATATACTTTATAGGGTCGGAGATGTCTCCTTCACTGCGTTGCACACTTTTGGACAAAATTATAATACCCTCTGCAAGGGTATAAAAACATCTATGTATATATAGGGAACTCGTTACACGCGCTAGAAAATTTGAAAGATGTGTGGATTGTATATCTGTATGGCCTGCTTTTATTTACCACCTCCAGGTAGACGAATCTACTCAAAACCTGACCAAACATAATGCTGATAAGCAACATAATCAAGAAATTCGGGTTTGCAAAAAAAAAATAATATAAATAATGGAAATGAAAAGAAACAACAAAGAACCCTGCTGTTTCTAAGCGTTTCTAGGGTTCGACGGCGGTATCTTCTATGTATAGGTGAGAGATTGCCAGAACAATTAGACGTCGCCTAGAGGGTCTCAGTCCATTTGTATATTTATTTTTTGGACTCGTTTCCAGTCGCGTATACGCCGCGTATCCGAACGCACACGTCGCTCTTCCTATTAGATTTCTTTCCAAGTTTATAAAAGAAAAAAAAAAGTTAAAAAAAAAAACCCTCCCTATTTTATAGTGTTCTATCTGATCCGCCGAAATATGTCTGTTGCTCCGAAACTGGTGGCCGTCGCCGAGTCGCGTCGCTTTATGATCGACTGCTTCAAGGCAGTGAAGGTGCCCCAGGCCAATGCCGAGGCCCAGGCGGACCTTCTGGTGGGCGCCGACTACCGAGGACACTTCAGCCACGGCATGAACCGCCTGGAGATGTACATCAATGATCTGGCCATCCATGCCACTGACGGAGCCGTGCAGCCAAAGATCCTAAAGGAGACTCCGGCCACCGCCTGGGTGGATGGCCAGAATGGTCTGGGAGCCGTGGTTGGCAACTTCTGCATGGATCTGGCCATCAAGAAGGCCAAGACCGTGGGTGTGGGCTGGGTGTGCGCCAAGGGATCGAACCACTATGGCATTGCCAGCTGGTATCCCCTGAGAGCCATGCAGCAGGGACTCGTCGGCGTTTCCATGACCAACACCTCGCCGCTGATGGCGCCCACGCGTGGCAAGGAGGCTGCTTTGGGAACTAATCCCCTCTCTTTGGGCGCCAATGCCACCAACGACGATCACTTCCTGCTCGACATGGCCACCACGGCGGTGGCTGTGGGCAAGATCGAGATCCAGCGGAGGAAGGGAGCCAAGCTTCCTGATGGCTGGGCCCAGGACCCCGAGGGCAACAATACCAATGACGCAGAGCTGGGCTTCTCGACCGGATGTCTCTATCCTTTGGGCGGCGCGGAGCTAACCTCAGGCTATAAGGGCTACGGCCTGGGTGCCATGGTGGACGTACTTTCCGGCGTGATGTCTGGTGCCAACTATTCCACGAAGGTGCGCAAGTGGACCCACGCTGGAGCTGACACGGCTGCCGATCTCGGTCAGGTCTTCATCGCCGTGGATCCCAATTGCTTCGCTCCCGGATTCGAGGAGCGTATGACTGACTTTAATGGACGTCTAAGGAATACTACTCCGGTAAGAACTAGACTATTAACTACTAGACTAACTATACATATATCCCTAACTGCCTTTCCTATCTGTATGATAGATCGTTTTTGAATAGGTGGTCATGATCAACAATTAATGAAATATTTTTTTTATTATTTTAAATTACAGACTGATCCCAACAACCCAGTTATTCTGGCTGGTGACAAGGAGACCCAAGGCATGAAGTCCGTGGACAAAGCCGGTGGTATCCAATATCTGGAGAATCAGATTAAAACCTGCACCATGTTGGCGGAGAAACTGAAGATTAAGCCCCTGCAGTTTATCGATTAAAGGATACTTGATTAGGAATTGAGGAACGGGAGCCAAGCTCCTTTATTGCCATATATTTTGCATTCGTGGACCAAAGCACTTAGTTCTTTCTCACTGCGAAGAAACACACTTTATTATATTTTTACATATCCGACTAAAGGACTTTCAAAAAATAAGTTTACTTTTAGCCAGATGCGTAAATTCAATTTACAAGCCTTTGTATAAATTGTAATTATTTTGATATACAATTTCCTATTTCAGTAGATTTTAAATATTTAGCTAAAACTATGATATTCAACAAGCAATTGTTTAAAATAAATCAAATACTTTAATAGAATTTTTGTTATATTTCTTTAAACTTTCAAACAAGAACTGATATTATATTTCTAAGCCCACTTATTGGTCATCAAGTACAGACTTCAAAGTGGCTTCAGCCTCCCACTTGAATTCCTTGTGAGCTATTGGCGATCTAAGGACCTTCTTGGCGCGGTAGTCCTGGCACTTGCTCTGAAACACATAAGGTGGCATTGGCTGACCAGCGCAGGTCACCACAGTGACGGCTGTTCGCAGCTCTTCGGGATCTTCGGTAACACTCATGGACTTGATAAAGTTAATGAGACGATCGTTATCCTCAGTTAATCGCTTCTTTTCCTCCAGCATCAGTAAGTTCTGAGCTTCAGCCATCGCCTGCCGGCGCCAAAAGTTTCGAAGATTCCTATTTAGCTCCACTAGCTCCTCCTCGGTCATGTCTACGTGGTCTTTGAGGTTCAGAGTCTGAATCTTGAACTCATCACTTACAGCCACATCTGTTTCATCAAAGACCTCACCTCCCAGGATCACCTTTTCCGATTCGGTTTGCAGTTTCCGGCAGGTGATCGACAAGGCCAACAGTAGCTCTCCACTTTTCACATTTTTCTCCATTTGCTGGGGAAGGTTTCTCTAATAATTTCCTACCCTTATACCTAAACTCTTACCTTGGTCAGTTCGTAGCACTCTCCTGTAAGGATGCGTAGCTTTTCGTGGGTGATATGGCGATCCATCTCCTGGTTCATCTCAATCTTCTTGCGCACATTGGTGAAGTACTGGAACTCCAATCGAAGATCGTTGAGGGTGGAGTTGTTTTCCGCCTCCATACGGAGAATTTCGCGCTGCAGGTCGGCCTGCATGTTGATGTACTTTGTCTCCTCGGCATTCAGTTTTCGAGACTCCTCCATGAAGGCCTCCTGCCTTTCGGTCAGCCAACGGATCTTCTCGTACTTGTGGGCATCCAGCTCCGTGCTCCTCAGGGACTCTACGAAATCGTTCAGCTGCTGCTGCATCTCAGACATCCGGCGGACGATCTGGTCCCGGATTTTGAATCTATTCTCTATCTCCGTGTTTACGCGGTCGTCGCGCTGCTCTAGATAGATGGTGTAGTCCTCCTTGATCTGGTCCCTAGTGGTTATGTTGGTGGCGTGTATGATGTTCTCGGCGTTGATGTGCATGGCGTCCAGCTCCTCGGTTCGACGACGCACCTCTTCGTAGTAGTCCCGGAGCATTTCGTCGGCCTGCTGGGCGTACACGTTCCTCACCCCCTCCAGCATCACGTGGAAGCAGTCACGGATGTGGTCGAGCAGCTCCACTGTTTTGCTGTAGCAGCGGACGTGCTGGTCCTGCGTCTGGGTCATGTCCTCCAGGAGCATCTGGATGTGGTCGTTCTTGCCGGCGATAATCCGCTCGGAACGTTCGCCCCAAGCTACGATCTCATCCTGAAGCTCCTGGATCTTGATCTCACGACACATCTCATGCCACTCCTCGGTGCCGCGCTGCTCCATGCGCTTCCCCAGCTCCAGTTCCCGCATCAGGGCATCCTGAAAGGATATGCTTGGAGGAAATGGTTGGAGGATGGTATTTCTGGCTTACTCACCCGCATGATCAGCCGCTTATCGGCCATGGCAGCTTGTATTTTGGCCTCCTTCTTGAGCGCCTTCTTCTCCGCCTTGGTCAGCTTTGGTGGCTTCTTGTCCTCCTCTGGCTCCTCCTCCACCAGATAGTTTTCCGAAATCCGGGTAATGCGTGCCAAGACATCGTCTGCCATTTTTGCTTTTAAAACCGCGAATTATTCAAAAATCTTTAATACAAGATTTAGTTAGGGAGTTTTTCAGGTTAGCCGCTTGAATTTGAATTGTGTATGACTGTACTTTGAGTGAAAGTTAAGGCAAAGCTTTTCGGGCTAGCTTTCTTTGAGTGTATTCCAACACTGAAAGAGCGCCAAAAAATTCGAAAAAGCTCTCTGACTGTGCACAGCATCTTGAGCTTTTTTCTAGGCCGTGATTTTGAAACGATACGGTCTCTGTTTCAGGCTCAGTCGACGCTCAAAGCTAACTCCGCGCGGTTGTCCTGGCTCCAGGACTACGATACTCTTGACGGGATTTGCGGGAGGCAATAGTATTCCACCCACTTGCCACTGAAGGCACGCCATCGTGTGTTGTGTGCGGGTTTTTTTTTTTTACCCGGCAGCGCCTTGTAAACAAAAATAACTCTGCTGGCGGCGGCAAGGGTGGCCCCGGTGGTTACAACCCCCAAATAGCCACAAAGGCAACTACAGAGCTCCGTAGCGGAATACAAAAAGTGGCAAGGGCACTCCTGGCTGCTTGGCTGCCAAGTTTTTCGGGGTTGCAGACAGTTGGCAAACAAGCTGTGAATGCGACTCCAAATGCCCATAAACATTCGGCGAAAATAAAACCGCAACATCAGTTGCAGTCGTATATTGTATCTGGTATCTGCGAGTGCACTTGTATCTGTATTTGAGCGGTGAAAATGAGCGAATCGAACGGATATCAGAAGCTGCCACCCGGCTGGGACTGCAAATATGATCAGACTACTGGCAATTGGTGAGCTTCCAGTGCATGAAACCAGAAATACCATTAATATTTATATTTTTCTCGAGTATATACTACTATGTGTATGTTGTGTATAATGTATCTGATGCGTTTATTGTTTGTCCGCACCAGACTGTACTGAAACATTAAAGAGAAAGGCAGAGAGGCAACCATTTGATAGGTTGCCCCGGGAGGCAGCTGATGAATTTGCGTGTGCCACGGCTGCCTTGGGCGCGGGAGTACGTGGGGGCTGGGTGGCTTAACCAGTAACAGATTACAACCGGGACTTTAAAATGCCAAGTGGGTGGCGGGAGTTCCATTAAATGACGGTTTACGATGGCTGGTTTAATGGCAGAAACAGTCTATATAAAGCTAAAGGGGGTTGGTAGTTCATTTGCATAAAGTTTTCTTTCGGACATCACCTGAAAACAACTGAAAATTAAGATAAGAGATAATTTTAATTGAAGGAAGCTTATTAGCATACAAAGAGCTATACATATTTTACAATTTATATATTGCAATATCTATTTTATTTAAAATTTAAAACAAGAAAGGAATGATTACTTAAGTTGGAGCCAAAGTTAATATTCCCTTGAAGTTGAATGTCAGTTTATGTTTACAACATATAAGTTATATGATATAACTTGCAACAACACAAAAAGAAAAAAAAAACAACAAAAATTAAAAAAAAAAATAATTTTTTTCAGATTTTTCGGGTCTGCTTAAGTGCAACCTATGAGAATCGAGGAGGAGGGCACTTTTTTTTTTTAATTATTTAAAAAAATATTTTAAGGAATAGTTTCCAAAATAAACCATGTTTTGTAATGTTATTATATGCAAAATAACGGTAAAATTTTGCTCTTTATTACTGAGAATGAAGGCTCTTCTTATTATTATAATAACTTCTGCAAAAGTATATATTAAAATAATAGAAAAAAAATAGTTCTTAAAGTCTTTAAAAATTACTTTCTATGATGATTCAATTTATAAAGACATGAAAAAAATCTGAAAAGAGTGGGAGGTTCCCCATTATTATGAATAAAAGAATAACATACAAATGTACATATATGTGTATTTATAAAAAATATTAAAAGAAATTTAACAGGTATTTTGGGTAATTGTATATCTGCGAAGTCAGATAATATAGAAATTACTGGCTTTTTTAAGAAACAGGTTTTATTTTATTGACTTAAGAGTTTAAGCAACAATTGATTTCAATCGTATCTTTTCATTTTAATGAAGAATCTGCCTAAATCTAAGTCATTATTTAATTATCAAAGTTAAAGCAACAAACAAGTGTTGTTAGAAAAGAACGCCCTTCTTTAGACCGCTTGGGGCTACTTAAGCACTCCAATTGGCTCCGTTTCTGTGTAAATAAATGTGTCACTTCCGCGTCGTTGGATGCCAGCGGGGTCTCCAACTTCCAGACATTTCACCTACTTTCCGCCCGCCCCCCCCACTCCCTGGTGCAATTAAGCAACAAGCCCCTCATAGACTGTCATACGTTAATTCAAGAGGGCACTCAGCCGGAGACGACTTCTCTTCTCCAGACTGCACCCACTCCTCCTCATGCTCCTCTGGATGCTGCTCCGAAATCAGAGCCAAGATTGCCCGCCGAATGGAGATGACGACTGTTGGCCCGCCTTTTGGCAGCTACTTGGCACGTGTCTCAGTTTAGGCGGATCCCGTAGACTCACTCCTTGCTCCTTACCCTTTACCTGTCCATTTCCCAGGGGGTTATCAACATGTGGCCGGAATCAACCACCACGAAAGATGGTAACCGGCCGGCTAGAAAAAACATCCACCCTTGGCCTAAATCGGGAAGCTTTCGATTGGCCCTGAGACGGAGACGGGGGAGGTCATTTGATGGCCTTTGATTCTCATTTGATTCTCAACAAGCTCATCTTCCATTCTGTTTCCGTTCCAGCTATTACATAAACTATCTGACCAAGGCCATGCAGCTGGAGGATCCGCGCGGACGCAGTTACAGGCAGCTGCAGAACGAGCGCTGTTCCACGGAGTCGATAGCCTTGCAGGTAACCACTACACCCCACTCCCCGTCATCCCTATCACGACCCCCATTATGCCTTGCATTTTATTGATTTTGCAACGCTTGCAACATGGCACTTTGCAGCAAATGGTCAGTCAGTCGCAGACGTCGCACAACAGCTCACCGTACCACCTGGGCTCCTCGGCTCACGTCCATCCCAGCAACAACTTGACGGCCATCCGGGCCTTCCAGGAGCGCAACCAGCAGCCGACACTCCACAACATCTCCACCAGCCCCCTGCTGTCCGCCTCCTCCCGAGGACACTTGGTAAGTGCATTTCTAAGGATAATTGGGTTGCCCCAATTACGTGTCTATTTGGCGCTAGTTTTTCGTTGTGCAACAAGCTTGGAATAGGAGTTTCTTCAACAAAAACATCAAACAAAGTTAATTTTAATTGTTTTTGTTTATTTTTTATAGGAAATGTCTTCACCATTGCCCTTTCAGCGGGCTCGTCTGGGTCCGAATCTCTCACGACGCTCCACCATCCAGGAGACCTCGTTTACCAACCAGGCCGAGACGGATGCCGTGGTCACCAAAATCCAGAACATGTTCCCCACCGCGGACGACAACCACATACGTCTGCTGCTCAAGCGGTAAGGGTTTGGCTTTGGAATCTCACCTGGCTTCTGTGCTACCGCTAATCCCCACTAATCTCTGTCTTCTCACACACGCTGCCTCTCGCCGCTTACTGCACCCGACTAACTATGTATCTCTATATGTATCACTGTATCCACCCACCACCCGCTTACTAACCCACAACTGCAGCTACTATAACCGCGAGGCCGTCGTCATCAGTGCGCTGCAGGTGGAGAAGCATCCGGTGACTATGCCGGGTCCGTTTGTGACGCCTCCCGCCCAGCGTCACCTCTTTCACAGTAACTCCGCCTTCTACATGACACCACCGGCGCGTCGTCCGGACACGGTGGCTAGTCGGTGCACCTCCCGCACGTCCAGCCCCCTGCCCGGCGGCCGCTTCGGTAGTCTCGTGAGCGTGCAGAGCGGTCCGGGGTCGGGTGCTCACCATGCGGGCGTCCTGGCCTCCGGATCGGCGGTGGCTTCGGCTCTGCACGGATCACCGCAGTGGCGCAGCTCGCCCAGGCCGCACTCGTCGCCTAAGATGAAACTAAGGTGCGCCGGAGTTTCTAGTTTGGAGATTCTTTTTTACTTTTTTAATTTTAAATTTTTGGCTTAAATAATAAGCTGGGAATGGGTATATATTTTAAAGCTCATAATCTTTATGTTCTTGATTCTTCTATTATTTTATTAAGACTATTCTTCAGAAGAAAAATATGTGAAAATCATAATTCTTTCCCTTTCCCAGATACATGAAGAACATATTCCCCAAAGCGGATGAAATGCTGCTCCTGGATGTCCTCGCCAATGCGGATAACAACGTCCAGTACGCCTCGGAGAAGTTGATATCCTTGGGGTATACCAAGCGGGAAATGCAACTGCCCCACAGACCCAACAATCGTCCGCCGGAGTTGGCTCAAGAGCAGGCTGGCGGGGATCAGGCCACCCAGCATATACCACTGCGACCCAAGGAGTACACCGAGGAGGAAAAGACCAAGAGTGAGTTGGATATAATGAGCTAAAAATAATAATTTAAATGATTTATATTTTAGTGCAAACTTTACTGAAAGAGAAGTATCCACAAATTGCCGAACGCATCATTCTCATGGCTCTGGAGTCGGTCAACTATGCCGAGGATCGGGCCACTCAGATCCTGCAGATCGTCCAGGACGAAGACGAACAGAGGGCCCAGAAACAAGCCTCAGCTAATCCCAAGAACCTGGAGCTAACTTCGACCGCTGCTTCGGAACAGGTCGATGGAGTCACCGGAGACAGGTACCTCATATGTAGTCCCAGTCCAAAACCACTGCCAAGATCAGCGCCCTGCTTTCCCCCACCTTCTATGTTTCCGAGTCCGATGCTTTATCTGTTTGTTAATCGACTGCCTATATATTTTCTCTGTGAACTTTTGTTGCCGCCTCTCTGATCTCTGATCTGACCAAATCCCACGAACCACCAAAACCACACTGCCACTGTCCACTTGCTTTGCGCCACACGATCATCATCCAGGCAAGCCTCATCCACATCTGCATCCAAGCTGAAGCCACCGCACAAGCGCCACATAATGCCATCCATCAATGTCACCACACCGTCGACGGCCACCACCCAGATTATCCTGGCCCAGCCGGAGGAAGAGGTGGGCGACGGAAACCCTAACGAGGAGGAGCAGCAGCAGCCACAGCAGGAGCATCGTCACCTGTCATCCATATCGAGTGCATCCTCATCGCATTCATATGTCTCACCTGCACAGTCACCCTGCTATGAGCGCCTCACCACCAAGAGCATCCTGGCCAAGGGAGTCCAGGGTCAGGGGCAGGCCAACCAGAACCACAACGACACTAACAGAAACTACAGCATCAGCGGCTACCTGCATGGCTCCTCGAATGCTAGCTCCTACTCCTCCTACTCCAGTTCAATGACGTCCTCATCGCTGGCTTCCAACTCCAACTCCTCATCCATAGCGAAGGCCATGCTCGAAAGTCGCGCTCGCACCAAAACCGATTCGCTGAAGTATGCCCATTACCGTTGTTAGCCCGTTACCGTTTCACTAAGTAGATCGTTTGGCATGAACCTGTATCCTTCAAGGATATCGCATGGAATGTAGACGGGAATTCACTCTTTGAGCCACTTTCTATTCCCAGATTTGAGTTTTCTTTGGCATGCCTTGAGCTTACATAATCTAACTTCAAAAATATTATTCTAAATATTTCATATCTTGTCCTATCCTTATCCCAACAGGCACCGCCAGCACTCATCGAGCTTTGGCAACTCCCAGAACTCCGAATCCTCGGAATTTCAATCCATCATCGAAAGAATGGCCAGTTTGGGACCCAATTCGCAGCTAACCAAGGGAGCGGATGAAAACCTACTACTGTAAGAGGATCAAGATATCAAAGCTTCATAAGTACATTGTTTCCTGTCTTTCAGAGCCGACTATGTAACCTGGAATGGTCCCAATACCACGCTCCTTCAAAAGCAACCCACTCAGGGTCCAGACTCTAGCCTCCTGGGCGATCGCAGCTACAAGCCAGCCGGCAGGAACTCGGAGCTATGCAAAGGAGCTCAGTCCGGATTGGCCAAAGGAAGCATCTATGCCCGGGGCAGCAACAAGAGTCCCAACATCAAATGCAACTAGGCGGGATAACTAAATGTCCTTTTTTCCCCTAGAGTGCCAAAAAAATCGCAAGAATCTTAGTGACTAGAGAAGCACAACCCTCCATGAAACCAGACTTACCATTTGTATGTGTCGTGAAATGTATTTTGCTCTAAATATTTACCCTTTAGATCTCCAATCTCCCAAAAAGAACACATTCCATCCAAGCTCCAATTATTTTTTAATAACTCGTAAATAAACAGACTTTAAAAACTATTAAACTTAATTAATTATTGGGGGAAAAAGAATAGGGGAGTTGAATATTAAAATTTCTTAATATTTTTACTTCCTAATCGTATTTCACCTCTAAAGCGCGGGACTATTGTAGCTAAAACCTACACTTCATCCTCGTTGAGAAGCATATTGGGGATGCCATCGGTAATGGGGAATATCCTGCCCGTTTCTGGACACTCCAGCTGACCTTCCAGCACATCGATTTCAAAGAGTAGGTGGTGCAGCTTCTGGAGGAGTAACTCATTCTCACTTATGTTCTCCGGCTGTGCAGGTGGGATGTCATCCGCTAGTTCCGCCTGAGATCAAGAACATGGACGTTAAATTTCTTGAAAGGATTGGGCGGGATATTTAGACACTTACGACTTGTGCAGCTCCATAAATAGCCGACCAATCCAGCTTGGGTAACAGTCGCTCTATGAATGTCGGATTAAACTCACTCTCAACCTCTTCCTTTTTGTTTATCTAAAAGATGTAAAAGATTCGTGAAACAATCAATATTTTTTGGATAGATTTTTAACTCACCGTCAGCTTCAAGGGGAATCCCACCTTTACACCTTTGATGGCCATGGACGTAAGGAAGTTGTAGGTGCTGAGCTTCATTTTATAGCCTCTTAAATCAGCTTTAATTTGTTAAATTTGAATGTTTATAATACAATATTTTTGCGGCAACACGTTGTGTTGATTCTTCTTCTTCTTCAATTAGCCATTCACAACAGTATGAAATCGTGGTATCTATCGTATGACTGGATGGTATATACCGCATTATCGATAAATATTGCGATAGAAATATAAACAAGGAATATCGATATATTTTATACTCAAGAAAGCAGCCAACTGTAGCTATTTAAAAGTTTTTCCCCGTTTATATGTGCAATTGGACGTTGAAACGTTGTTAAATCAGTGACCGAGGGTGGAATAAGAGCGTACGCCAACGATGGAGGACATTTTCCACTGGTGCCGCGAGGGAAACTCGATTCAAGTGCGCCTGTGGCTGGATGAAACGGAGCACGACAACAATCTGGGGTAAAAAGATGAAAATCTATCTGGTGGATACTTTCTAATTGGCTGGGAAGAGGCATGGAATTGGACTACCTTAGGGTGGCAAAACAATCCTTTCCAGGAAGGGCCGTTAAGTCATCACCATTGATACGCCCCAGCATATTTGGTTCGAGTGGAGTGACGTCATGATTTATTCTTGTGTTGTGTAAACAGACGAATCAAAAATATATACACATGTATATTTCAACATATGTGTGCAAGTCAAGAGGCGTCTGGTATCGCGAGCATAAAACCTGCTGCCCACACAATCTTTACCTGTGTTTACCCTGGCCGAGGGTAGTCTAATTCTGTCAAGAACCTATCCTCTCCTAAAAGTCTATTTAAACTTTATTAATATTCTTATTATCTCCTTTTTAGAGACGACCATGGCTTCAGTCCACTGCATTGGGTGTCAAAGGAGGGGCATGTCAAGCTGGTGGAGACGCTGTTGCAGCGAGGAGCGAGGGTGAATGCCACCAACATGGGCGACGACATCCCACTGCATTTAGCCGCAGCCCACGGTCATCGAGATGTAGTTCAAATGGTAATTAAGTTTAAATTAAATCAAGATTATTAATTAACAAGCATTTATATTTTAGTTAATAAAAGAACGAAGTGACGTGAACGCCATTAACGAGCATGGAAACACCCCGCTGCACTATGCCTGCTTCTGGGGCTACGACATGATCTGCGAGGACCTTCTGAACGCCGGCGCCCTAGTGGGAATTGCCAACAAGGATGGGCATACACCCATCGACAAAGCCAAGCCTAGTCTGGCCAAACGTCTCCAGGATCTGGTGGAGAAGAGCGGCAAGGAGGTGAAGGTCATCAGTTTCAAGGAGCAGAGCTGGCAGGGACTGAAAACTCGGTCCCGGGACGCTACTCTGTCGAGGTTTAAGGGAATCAGCATGGGTGATTTGGACCTGCACACCAAGTTGTCTGTCACCTCGTCCGGGGAAACATGGAGGGGTCGTTGGCAAAAGAATGATGTGGTGGCCAAAATCTTGGCTGTGCGTCAGTGCACGCCACGCATTTCTAGAGATTTTAACGAGGAGTTTCCCAAGCTGCGCATCTTTTCGCATCCCAATATTTTGCCCATTATTGGAGCTTGTAATTCACCACCCAACTTGGTGACCATTAGTCAGGTGAGAGAATAACAACATCACGAATATATAGATTTAGAATTAAAATTTTTGTCCTTACAGTTCTTGCCAAGATCATCGCTATTTAATCTTCTACATGGAGGCACTGGCGTGGTGGTGGATGCCAGTCAAGCAATCAAGTTCGCCCTGGACATTGCCCGGGGTATGGCCTTCCTGCACTCCCTGGAACGGATCATACCGACCTATCACTTGAACAGCCATCACGTGATGATCGATGACGACCTGACGGCGAGGATCAACATGGGAGACGCGAAGTTCTCCTTCCAGGAGAAAGGCCGCATCTACCAGCCCGCCTGGATGTCACCGGAGGCTCTTCAGCGCAAGCAAGCCGATCGTAACTGGGAGGCTTGCGACATGTGGAGCTTCGCTATACTCATCTGGGAGCTGACTACGCGCGAGGTGCCCTTTGCCGAGTGGTCGCCCATGGAATGCGGCATGAAGATCGCCCTGGAGGGCCTGAGGGTCAAGATTCCACCGGGCACCTCGTCGCATATGGCCAAACTGATAGGAATCTGCATGAACGAGGATCCCGGCAAGCGGCCCAAGTTCGATATGGTGCTGCCAATTCTGGAGAAGATGAAGCGTTGAGATCGATGAAGGAAACAACGAACGCCAAGCCAAAATGTGCCTTGAAATACTTCGTTTTGCCAACTAATTGTAATTACTACTTTGTGTTACCTTTCTCTAACTGAGCCTAACCAAACTCCGAAGTCCGAACTCCCAAATCCGAACCGAAACGGCAACCAAGAATTTATGTTTCTCTGTCTCACTGTTGTCTCTACTTATGATTTTTTTTCCGTCAACGTATTGTGCGGGTGCTCGATTCTGTCGTTAATGTTAAGTTCGATAACCGTTAGGATCGTATTTATACAGAAATATATTTGTTATACTAATTATTTAAAAAGAATATTTTGTACCTTCTGGTACAACCGACATGATGTATGAGCTTTTCCTGCTGAGAGCTTTTTGGATGTGGTTGGGGGTGGGGGTGGAAGACCCGGCGGATGCAGCAGCGCAGCGCGAGCAAGACGTCCCTGACCTGGTTTCCATTTGAGGCACGCGATTTTGTGCAGCTCGCGTGGGCAGAGAAATGAAGTGGCAGGGCGCCGGCGTGGGAATTTGGAGAGAGTACTTTTTCAAGTGCTTAAATAAATATTTAAAAATATATTTAGATGGATTATGTCATTTGGAAAATTAATTTAGATTTAGGAACTATAATTTCTTTTAAATCTTTTTAAATATTGGTTTTTAAATCCTTTCCTATAACTGGCATCCATATTCTCTTTTGACCCGGCTCTCACCGGTTTCGCGACTCTCTGTTTATGTTTTTGCGGCAAGCTATTATTTGGGCCCCTGTGTTGCGGCAAGCTTGCAACGAGCCATGTGATTGTTTTGCTGGCTCGCTCTTTCTTTAATGCTACGAGTACATCCTGCGGGGTCCTTTTTCTGCTGTTGGCTGCCATTGCAGCTTTAAAAAACTTTTTTCCTTTTTTTTCATTTTGCTGCATTTTGTTGTCGCCGTCGCCGTTGCCGTTGCCATTGCCGTCGTCCTGTCGTCCTGTCGCTGTCGTCCTGTAGTCGTCGGCGCTTTTCGGGCCCAGAGGCTGGTCGCTCGTTCTCCGGCCAAATGGCAGTGGAGCAGTGCAGTGTCCAAAAGCGGATTTACAGTTTTCCATGCCCAGTTATGACGGCAACAGCATTTCCGCAACATTTAAGTCAAAAGGACTAAGGAAAAATAATCTCAAATAGGATAAACATCTTGTGTGCTGTTTAAACTAAAAACTTTTAAGAAAACGAGCAAAAAAACGTATTGAAATCGGAAAGCTTTCCAACCGGAAGTGTCAAGAGTGAAAGTGAAAAAAAAACTCATGGCATCTTTTAGGCGCAGCGCATAAAGGAGATTTTCTTCGTTCGCATTTGCATATTAGTTTCCTGTGTTTTGCTGGACAATTTTTAAGGTTTGGCGGTGCAGCTGCTTAAATGTATTTTAGTGACAGCTACCAGAAACGGCCAGCCCCTTGGAGGGCCGGCAATCCATGGAGTATTCAAACACCACGGGTTTGAATCATAATATCATCGTCAAGGAGGATCCGGAGCAGAGTCATTATCAGCAGTCAAGCAAAACCAGGTTAGTATTTATAAATAGTGCACTTATACCAGCACACACATGCCCCATTTTATGACCACACCTGAACCAAAAGAGGGTAACTTTTATGATGCTGCTTTCACTTTTGTTATAGGTCTGTAGGTTTTATTTTTTCATTTCAATTAACCATACAATTGCCCGGACAGGACCAGAACCAGGAGCAGGAGCTGGTGCTGGCTCACATCAGGATGCAAACTTTTCATCAACGGCAGCAGCGGTTACAGTTTGCCGCAGTTACTCCATCATTCATTTGGCTGACGAGTGAGCCACTAACCTACTTCCTTCACACACAAAAGCCGCAGATGCTGCGAAGCTGCCGCAGATGTTGCTGTTGCTGCTACTGCTGTTTCTGCTGTTGCCGGCATGCCACGCCCACACAATAGGCGGCTGGCAGAGAGGCCTTAGGCGCTTCAGATGACGTTGGCGTTGATGAGTGAAAATGTGAAAATTGCATGGCATGGTAGATGGAAATGAACGACGACAGTGCATAACAAATGATGAGATTTGTTTCGCGTGCATCCCGAGCCCTACTCCTCCTCCATTCCGCCATTTTTTGTTAGAAATTCCCAAACGATCGATGGTCGGCTGCATAAATCAAAAATTCCATTTTGCAGATTTCAGCACAAAAGGAGGCACAGCCACAAACACACACATACATACATAGTACCAACAGACTGAAAGGATGGCTGGCTGGCAGGAAGAAAATGAAAAAAAGGCTCCTTGCCAAACTAAAATGCCACATGGGCAAATATTTCACTTGTGCTTTCGAGCGGCGCATTGAAAAGCGAAAATATTGTGACAATACAAGCAGCAACATCACTTGCAACAACAGCAACATCAGTTGCAACAGCAGATTCAAGTGGAAGTGCTCTGTCTAAGGACTTTGTGAAGTGCATAACAACGTGGAAATATTCTAAAAGCAAACTACAAGTAGAAGGCAGTAAGATGCACTGAAAAAAAAGCTTAGAGGAATGTATTATAAAGGAAGTCAGATTCATAACACAAAAATCACAAAAAAATACGATCTATATGACTATTTTCTGGGATATATTTTCTAAAAAAGATATTAGAGCCATATGCTTCTAATATTCATTTTTCAAAAATGAAAATATTTTTAAGAAAAACTATTTTTCTCAGTGCACAAAACACATATAAAAGGCAACTAAATGCAGTGACAGCAACAGCTATAGCATCAAAGCAACAAAAAAAGTAAAAGGGACATGTGAAAAGAAGCCGCAGGATGGGGGAAAAAAATGTAAAAGACGAAGACACATGCAAAGCATATATTGATTTTTATCCCTTTTCCCTTCCGAAAGTTACTTGCGTTTGACTTTGTATTTGATTGCCCACAGGGCGTATGAGTAATGCAGTAGCAGCAGCCCGCTTAGATTGCTGGAAGCGGTGCGTATACTTGATTTATGCGCTTCCCTCTGGAAAAATTGTAAAGAAAGAGCTACTGCCATCAACTTCAACTGCAAGTGCTATAAATCTCAAGATTTCCATAAAAAACTAAACCAAGTTGGGCCTTAAACTTAAAGGAAACTTGCAAAAGCAAACAAGAGAGAGCCTCTTAAATTTCAAGAATTGGAAAAACTATCCATCACTATCGATTCGGACCACCCACCCACCTGCTAGCGCTGATGTTCAATAAATTCTGGGGGGAAATGGCCAATTACGAGGCAAAACGAGTTAAGAATTGTGCCAGGAGGGAGATGGCCGATACAGAAGCCCTCCCTTCGTCTTCGTCTGTCCGACCAATATCTCTTTGGAAATAAATGGCTGTAGCCGCCTGCACTTAACATGAATGGCCATTTTTCCAATCAATTACGTACGGGGGTGGAACGGAGGGATGGGGCTTAGAACTGAAAATGTGAAAGCCAAGAAAACAAACGGGTTAGAACCAGGGAGGGGCAACGGGAAGCCTTAGCTAACAATAATTATTTGAATTTTTTAAATCATATTGCCATTTTCTTGGCAACAATTTTCTTTGGCATTGACATTGCAATACCGTTGACGTGTCTTATCGACGTATTTGGCCAATACCTGACCCGATTAAAGCCTGTTCTTACCTCAAAAAAATAATATTATTTTATGATCTATTTCAGACTGCCTTTGATTGGAAGCTATTTCAAGATCGACTCACCGATCGGAGTGCAGCCTGTTGCTATTGCTTTTGGCAGCCAGCGTTGCATCAATACGCCCCCGACCACGCCCAGCAGTCCCTTGAGGGAAGCGCCCCAAAGTCCCTCGGACGGACACATTTCATCCTTGAGCTCGCACTCTGGCTCAGGATGCAGTGACATCCTGTTGGGTAAGTCCTGTTCCGGCTGTCCCTATTTATAACTTCGCGGCCCAAACAGATCATGACCTAGGAAGGGGCAAGAAAAAATGCCTGCGAATGCCAACATTTTATTGAGGTTGCTGACATTCGCCGCCCGTTTCTGTTATTTTTTTTATTTTCCATCTCCCACTCTGCGCTACTTTGGGTTTAGTTTACTTTACATGCCACCAGCTCTGAGTGAAAAGTGTTGGCCAGAAATACCAGCCCGCCATGCCACAATCTGTGCCACATTGCTGACATGCACAGGGAGAAAAGGGTTATAGGGAGAGTGAGACACGAAATGGCTGTAGAATTCTTAGCAGAATTGATAGTAGAATTTATATTCTATTACTATATAATATCATACTCTGTTTAGTTTATTTTTTAAGCTGTTTGATTGACAAAGCCTTATGGATATGACATTGTGATAGTTTCTAAACTTTATCCATCAGCTGGCTTTGTTTGCCGTTCTACTTAAATTTTGGCAATTGTTTGATTTTCGGTTATTCGCAAATTTTCCAGCCATTCCCCTCACATCAAGTGATAATTTCTAACGCTCACTCCGTCAAAGTTTGTTTACCAGAACCCGCCGCCGCCGAGTGCTATCAAAGTCAGGCCCCAACAACAATCGCAATAGCCACAAATTGTGGCGGCGGAGGAAAAATGTGGAAAGTAAACAACAGATTCGCATTCAAATAACTAAAATCTGAAAAATACACAGGGAGAATTAGTTACTAGGAAATATAGCTTATAGTTTTTATTAATAAATTTTAATATTCCAATCATTGAAAGAAGTAGGGTTTTATACAAAGCATTTCCTATTTTAGTACTATTCTGTACAATACTACTATTACGATGCTATTTCTACTACATAGTAGTATACTACTTTTAAAGCTTTTATTTCAAAAATTCTTTACTTTTTGATGGAAAATTATATTATACTTTAAAGTTTATTATTTTTACTGTGTAAAAACTTAACGCTATCTATCGGTAGTGGCATAATAATAAGCAAATAAATAAAACTAAACGCATTTTGCGCCACTTTGTTGCTGCCCGCTGCCGCCTTGTTTTTGCTACTGTTGCAGTTGTTGTTCTAGGCCGCTAATGTTGTTGTTGTTGTTGCCACCGCCTGAGATGTTGCCTATGACGTTGTTGCCCACAAGTCATTGAACTTAGAGCGGCGTCGACGTAGACCGTCCAACAATAGCAAAATAAATAAAAAGCTAAAAATCCAAAGAAGCCAAGGCAGCCGCCCCCTCCACCGCCAATGCCCGCACCCCCCTTCCACCCACTTGATGATAAGTGAAATGCAGTAATAATAAGAATAGTGAGCGGGCAACTCTCACTCGAACTCACACACACACACACTCGGAAACCGATTACACAATCTTGGCGAGCGGCATTTTCATTTTTCTCTTCCTGGTTCGTCGTCATCGCGTGTCTCTGTATTTGTTTTCGCGAATCTCTTTCTTATGGAGTGTGCGTAACACATACATATATGTAAATATTGTATGTGTTTGTGTTGAGATCAGGTTTTATTAGGGAATCGAACCCATACTATGTAGCCTGGGTGGTGATGGGGGCGGCGGCAGTGGGCCGCTTCGATTGCTCGTGTCGTTTCGCTTTCGTGGAGGATCGTGGATCCGATCGGGGGATATATCTTCGCCGTTTTCTTGTTATTTACAGTTTCTGGTTGCTTTCGCTGCTCCGTTGGAAAAAGCCCCCAACTAGCTGCAGCGTCGCTGTAGACGTTGGCGTCGCTGCCATTTCTGATCGTTGACTTTTGTGGGATCCCTTTTGCGCTAGGCATTCGTCATGGAAATTGTGCAAGGCAACTGGACTGCGGAAAATGGGCGAACATTTTTGGGGTTTGGGGGTATTTAATTAATTTTGTATTTGGAAATCATATAGTTTACTCTCTAATAATTAGGATTTTAATCTTAATATTAGGAATTATTACATTTTAATTAAAAAATACGAAAATATTTAGTACTTTAAGCTTTCTTTAAAAAATTATATATTTAATCATGAAAACAACGACTAAAGTTGTTCCATGTTTTGATGCCAAAATTGTTGTTGCCACTTTCCAACGCCGCACAGCAACAACAACTGCAATAGTTGCAACATGCAACATTTCTCACTTCCGCATTGCAGAATTTTCTCTCCATCTTGGAGAGGCCCATATTGCTCTCTCTTTTGGCGAAGGTTCTTTGATCCCCAAGAAGCAGGCGCCCCCACTGCAGCGCCCCCCACCCGTTGGCCTCCTGCTCGCACACACTCTAACATTCTATTGCCCTCTCCCTCAAAGATAGTGCAAACTAAGTAACGGTTCGCCATCTCCCTCTCGGTCTTTCTCTCGCTCTTGGGGACTCCGTGCACTGGTGTGTGTGAAATTGATCTTGAGTGGAGTGTGGCTCTGCACTTGGAACTCGGTGTGTCGCTGGCGTCGCTGCCTGCGTTGCAGTCGACTGAGTCGTTGGCTTTGCCGCAGCGGCAATAGAAATTGAAAATAGCAACCAGGAAAAGAGTTGTTGCAAATGGAAAAGTGCAACAGCAACACTAACAAAAACTAGCGGCAGCGAGAGTGGTCGTGTTGCCGTTGTTGTTGCTGCTGCTGCTGCGACTTGTGGTGTTGCTGCAATTTATGGTGTTTTCCTGGCATATACAGTTTTTGTTGTTGCAGCTGCAATTCTGTTTGTTGCAGTTAGATTGTGAGTTGTTGTTGCAACTAGTGTTGTTGCTGATGTTTCTGGTGGAGATTAGAAAGACAGAAGCTCCCTCCTCCTTCTTCGCTCCTCCAGAGACTTCGCCTCGTGCTGCGGCGGCGCTTCGCAGTTTTCCCCACTCCATTTGGGGCCACACAGCCACATTCTATTTTCCTCCTGCTCTTTCCCCACACACACACACACTGGTCATACCCACACACTCGCAAGATTCTTGTTCTTCTGCGTCGCTGCCGCTGCCGTCTTGGACTTTTCTGTGTTGTCGTAGGTTCGTTCTGTTCTGCAGTCTGCAGTCTGCAGTTTGGCTTGGGATTTCTGTTGCGCATTTGGAGCGCTGCGAAGTTGGCGCTTGGATCTCGGCAAGGCGAGAGTTTCGTACGCGCGATCGCCATTTCGTTTTTCCTCAGTTTTTCCCAAAAATTTCCCACCCGAAATCGTAAATCAAAGCTCGGGTCGCGAGTGCCATCATATAACGAATATATCGATCACGCCGGACTTGGAATACGGAAAGAACTTGGAAGAGCCAGGAACTACGTGACACAAAACACGGAAGTGAATTCAAAATATATGCAAAATACATCGTAATTGTTAAGCCAGAGTGCAAGTGTTTTTACGAAAATTATTTAAGGAGATAGGGAATATAATATTTTTATAACTAAATTTAAAAAAGAAAATATCCTATTTTCTATTCCTATTAAGGGTCTATAAATTTAGACTTTTTAGAGCTTTTTCCTTAAAAAATGTGTCTTTAAAATTCAAAATAGCCTTATAGTAGTATCCATTTACCTTATTTTTCTAAAAATTCTCTTTCCCTTTAATAGAATAGAATAGCTAAATAGAATCTTTAAAGTTTCTCCTCCAAAGACTTTAGACCATCACGCTGAAAGATTTCTTTTTGAATTCCCCCATTAAGTGCCAAAGGATTAAATTAGAATAGCAAGGATTTCCCACAAACATGCTGATCCGGCGCCATTGTGGGTTGCCAACATCGATTTCCGCTCCCAGGACGATGATGGATGGACCGATCCGTCTTGCAACCGATCCGATCCAAGCAACATGGATGTATACCAAATAGAGCTGGAGGCACAGGCACAAATCCGCTCCAATCTTCTGGTCGAAAGCTGTGTGAAGCCCTCGGTGGTGGAGGAGCAGCAGCTGCAAGTCAAGGAGCAGGACCACCTCATCAAGGACTTTGACGAGGGAAACCCGAGCGACGGTGAGGACGACGAGGAGGAGAACGACACCGAGGACGAGGAGGAGGAAGAGGAGGACGACGTGGGAGCTGTAGAAGAAGAAGACATAGAAGAGGACGAAGAACCGGAGGAGGAAGGAGCATTGCTGGCAGGAGTCAATTTCAATGCAAATTCTGACTTTAATTTGCATTTCTTTGACACACCGGAGGACTCGTCCACACAAGGTGCCTACAGCGAGGCCAATAGCTTGGATTCCGACCAGGAAGAGGAAGACCTGCCTCAGCACAAGTTGCAACAGGCACAGCAACAACATCACCACCAGCAGCAGCAGCAGCAGCATCAGCAACAGCGGGAGTTGCAGGATTGTTTGAGTGCCATTGAAGCGGATCCCCTGCAGTTGCTGCACTGCGACGATTTTTACACAGCCCCAGTGGAAAACGTAGCAGCTCCCCTTGCCCCACACCAGCAGCAACAACAGCAACACACCCACCAGCAGCATCAGCAGGCCCAGCAGCAACCGCAACAACAGCAGCAACATCAACGCCAGCAGCAACAACATCACCCACAGGCCCAGCAACATCAGCAACTGAACTGCACGCTGAGCAATGGTGGAGGTGCTTTGTACACCATCAGCAGTGTGCATCAGTTTGGTCCGGCCAGCAACAACAACAGCTCCTCACCCACCTCCTCCTCCGCCTCCAGCGGCGCCCACGCCTCGCCGGATAGTGGTTGCTCCTCGGGTGCCTCGTCCGTCTCATCATCGGAGCATTTTGGCCGCTCAACAGCAGTTGTCAATGTCAGCGGCCAGGCTCATTCATCCTCGTCAGCGGTTACCAGCAGCAGCAGCAGCGGCAACAACAACAATAGCAACAGCACCATCAGCAATTGCAACTCCAACCCCTCAGCAACATCTTCATCTGTTGCGCATCTGAACAAAGGTAAGTATGTGCAACTAGCGGAGACTCCACTCTTCCGGACCATTGTTGTCGCAGTTCGAAAATTATGTTCAATAAATTTGCATTCATTGCATAAGAGCAGCAGCAATAGCAGGAGCAACAACTGCCACAGCAATAGCAATAGCAATAGCAACTGCAACAGCTGCAAATGCAACTAGCAATTGAAAGCCTGAAGACTGCAAGCCTGAAGTTTCTTCTCCTTTTGAGGAAACTATTAAAGCGCAGCATAAAAAATGTGAAAATGAATATAATTCCCTGTTATTGGCCCATGTGCCTGTGGTTTTTGTTGTTGTTTTTGTGGGTTTTCTCATTTTATTTTCCTTATCCACTCTGAGGAAATTGCTTTTCATGTTGCAGTCTGTCAATGCTGCAATGCCATAGCGATTGGGGCAATTGAAAGCCATGCAACAACGAATGTTTTCATTTTCATAAATCGCCTTGAATGGCTTTCGGCTGGTTACTGAGGTGTATGCACTGAGAGAAAAGATACTGAGGTTATTATAGTTACTAAAATAATTCTTAGTTATATTCTTTAATTTTCTTTCAATAAAACTTTAGAGAACGAGGCTTTGTTTTGAAAACTTCAAACTCTCTTCAGATATTAAGATTTTGTAGTACTTTCTTCCAGTGTAGTTTCTGTAATAGAATCTGAGAGAACTGACTCGAGAAATTTAATTTAAAAGCCATTTCTCTAAACTACCAGGATTATGCTTGCAGGATTAACTTTTATAATTAAACGTCCTGAAATCTAGGATTTCGTTTTGAAGTTGCCACTAATGGTGGCAAGCTCCTCACCCCAAACTATATATATATCTGGATCTAGAGGTCGCTAGGAGGAAGTAATGTCTGCCATTTTGAAGTCAATCAGTTGCCCAGATAAATGCAAGAAATGCAAAAAGAAAAATGTCGTGGAAAATATGATGAAGTCTTTGTCGTCTATCGTCTGACAACGCGGAAATGCCAAGCACTTTTCCACAGACCCGCTCCGCTCTGCCTCGCCCCCTCATCCCGCCCCTTCGTGGGGCAAACAATGGCATTTCAAATTGTCAACTTACAAAAGCCAACCAAATGATTTGCATTTGAACGCAGCGCGAAAATGAAAAGCAGGCACTTGAATTTCCTTTTGGTTTTTCATTCCTGCCCCCAGCCACGGCGACGACATTTTCCAGACAACGCGTTGTTGCTGCCTGCCACAGCAGCAGCAGCAGCAGCAGCAACCGATGGTGAAAATTCAATTTGCAATTGCACAAGCGCGTAACGCTTCACCCCACTCCTTTTCACCCAGCCCCTCAACCTCCCCCTGAAAACCAGGCAGGCGGCAGGCACCCTGCGTCTGTCTGTTTGTCGGCGCGTGCAAGTTGCACATTAATTTCATTTTGTTTCGCATTTTTGAGGTGTGGCAACTTCAATTGCTGGCAGTAATAGCACTGCGAAAAAAGGGTGTTAAAAATAAATAATGTATGATCTATTTTCCTTCATAAAATTATTCATTTAATAAAGAAAATAGAGCTTCTTTAAAGTAAGTTTCCTATAGAGACTTACATTTGTAAAAAAAAACTTAATTACTTTTTAAATATCTTTTTCATATTTAAACATGAGCTTTTCCAAAAAATATTATTTTTTGTATGTTTCTTATTTATAATATTAACAATTCATAAAAAATGTGATTGATTTTAAATTAAATCTCAATAGATATCTGCTAAGCTTATAACCCTTACTTTTAATAGTTTTTTATTCTAAAAAATGGTTTTAATAAATATTTCAAAAAAAATCGAACAGAATTATAAGGAGATTGATTCAGATTAATTTATAGTTAACTACCATAATTCAAATAAATAAAAACCCCAACCAATAATAAACTTTTCCCGCCGTGTTCACATCGCAGTTCAAACTCCGCGCTTAGTTCATTTGCCTCTTCCTCTTGCATTAGAAAAGCAAAAATAAAAAAAAAAACTAAAAACAAAAATAAAAAATAAAAATAAACATAAAATAAAGGCAGGCAAGAAATAAAGTCAAATTGAATTCGAAATGAAATGCCAAGAAGCAAACATAGCTGTCTGGCTCCAGTTTTTCTGCCTTTTTGCCAGCCTTTTCTTTTCCATTTTTTTCTTCATAATTTGCAATGCAAATTTTTTTCGGCTCTCGCAGTGAAAATTGTGCGGCTGCAGTTTTTCCTCGTGACTGGTAGAAGTAGAGGCAACAGCAACAACAACCCGAGCATCAGACGTCTTGGCTTGTAATATTGTTTTGTAGGCGGTGGCGTATACGTGATTTTTTTTTGGCATTTCTTCTTATCGCACATCGGCAGCGTTAGCGCTGAAGTTGAATGTACTTTGTGGGCCTGGGGGTATGTGTTGCATTTGACTGTGATTGCTCATAGCCAGGCCCCAATTTAATGGGCTTAATCATCTCGAGCATAATTAAGCAGCGCATTTGTCAGCAATTTCATTTTCCCCTTTAAGATACATTTTTAATTTAGCTTGCGTCATTTGTCGATTGATTGTTGCCTCGGGTGGCATGTGGGGCAAGTGTGACAAGCGGGAGATTTCGAGTGGGCGATACGGCGGTGACAGCAAACTCATTTGGAAAATTGCAATTGCTGCACATGCGGCGTATGAGCAATGTGGCATGGCATTGCATAAGCCACTCGCCGGACAACTTTCCAAAACCGAAGGAAATGTAAACGAAACAAATGCATTTTTCCCTTGCAGAGCAACAGCAGCAACAGCCACAGCAGCAGACCACGCAGCAGCAGCAACTCCAGCAGCAACACCAACAACAGCAGCAACAGCAGTCGCAGCAACATCAGCAATTGCAACACCCGCAGCAGCAATCGTTTGGAGTCTCCTCCAAATCTTTTGTGCCCTGCAAAGTTTGTGGCGACAAGGCATCGGGCTACCATTATGGTGTAACCTCCTGCGAGGGTTGTAAGGTAAGTTTTTCCTTCAAATTATGAAATTCTATAATATTTAAGTATAGCTATTTATTTTAAATGAAAACACATTATAATAATGGTACTTTTTCAGGGTTTCTTTCGTCGCAGCATCCAGAAGCAGATCGAGTACCGGTGCCTGAGGGACGGCAAGTGTCTCGTCATTCGACTGAACCGCAATCGCTGCCAGTACTGCCGCTTCAAGAAATGCCTTTCCGCTGGCATGAGCCGCGACTGTGAGTACCGAAAAATACAAAAAAAAACTATCCAAAGTAACAGTATGATTAAGCCGATTCGCAAATGCCAAGTTAAGCCAACTTGGCCAACTAACTGGGCCCAAAAGTGAAGGGGAGGCTGTACCTTTCAGCTTAGCCCCTTGATTACTTTATCAGCCGCGAAACCGCTGGCAGATTTCTGCCAAAAGATCCCAGATTGTGTCAGTTAGTTGTCCCGGGAAATTGGCAACTCTGAGATATGCTTTTCTAAAAGGTATAATTTAATTTACACAAAGAAGAAAACTTGACAAAACTTTGCAACTTGGTGGAGAAAAATAAGTTCTAAAGCGCTGTATTTTTAAAGATTAGAAAATTCGACTGATTTGTATTTCAAGCTTGTTTTTCTGCTTGAATATTAATTACTTTTTTAATTTAATAAAAGGTTATATTAGTTTTTAGTTAAACAAATAGTTTTAGCCTCTTAAATATGGTAAAAGAAAGTATATTTATAAAAAAAATAATAAAACCTGTGGAAAAATATAAAAAAAAGGATGTTCTAAAATTTGTAGTCTATAAACTTTAAATATATTTTTCATTGTATTTTTAATATATTTCACATATGTTAAAACTAATAATTCTAAAATCTAAAATAATTTCCACTGTGCATTTTATATTCCCGTACTCCATATAATCGAATCGGTGCGCAATTCTAACTAAGCATCGGTTATCCAGTTAGCTAATGCCTCCTAAAACGTAGTAAAGCCTTCACTTAAGATAATTCCTCCGTTTAAAAACTCAATCCTCTGACATGGCCCGTTCATCCAGGCCTTAAACGGGTCTACGCCCATCCTCTTAGTTAAACACCCATAAACAACTCCAGACTGGCCGAGGAGCTATTTGGAGCTATTGGACGTGGTCGGAAACTGCAGCTTAGCTCCATTTAAAGACTAGATGGCCACGAATTTACCCCTCAATCCGAACTTCCTGTAAGCCACAACCGAAATCCACCCACGATGCTGAAGTAAAATTAGTTTTTATGACTGTTGTCAGTAGCGGGAATAGAGCAACTCCAGGGATCTGGATCCCTTGGCTCTCAAATGCAATTTATTTGATGTTGCACAATTAATTGCCCAAAAAGATCGGAAAAAAACGGTCACGGGTAAAGGCGGTTATAAAATCCAATCCAAGAGAGGCGGGTCTACCATGTATGACAGGCAACAGATATTTGTTTCTGTCACTGTCATTGTTGCTGTCGCTTTTCTGTTGCTGTTGCCGTTGCTGTTGCTGCACGCGAGCAACATTTATTAGTCGCGTCTATTGGCCGCAACATTTGTTGCAATTTTTTATGGTCTTTGTCCGGTTCGGAGGTTCGGAGCCCGGGGTCCATGGTGTTGAGCAAACATTTCCTTAATTTTCCTCAGCGCCCACGCAACACTAACATGGAAACCAAAAAAAAAGCAATCCCCTTTGTCCTCCTCCTGCTCCTTCTCGACCCACACTGGTCCGATTTCGAGGCAAGGAGGCCTTCGTGCTGACTTTTGCCACTTTTAATGATTTTCCACAACAGCACAGATTTCCTTTGCAACTTCCAACCATGAAACTTTTACTTAAAATGCTCTGCCCTTGGAAAATAATTTTAGAAAATAAATTTGAAATATTCTTTTAGAAGTTAATGAATTAAATCTTATGTAATATATTTATTGAATTATTTCCTTTAGCAAAAATAAACTCAAGAAATATATTGAAAACCAAACTGAATCCTTAAACCGTTTATTGCAGCTTCAACTGCAGCAAAGTTTTTCCTTTCTCTGCCTCATTGCATACGGAAAGTTCAATAATTTACTTAAATTGCTTTTGTGGCAAGTTCGGTGCAGGCCTGGATGTTGCAGTTGCCTCTGTAGAGGCGGGGTTCATTTTCATAGGCTGAAAGGCTGAAAGTTTGCGAGGCGCCTTTTGATTTTTGCTTGCTCGGTTTAATTAGACTCTGCCACAGACTTTTGTCGATTCGGATTCGGATGGTGGGGTTATTATGGCTTATGGCAATGCTGCAACTGGCAACTAGCAATTGCTGATTGCCGATTGCCCATTGCTGCAGTTGCAAGTTGCAAGTTGCTAGTTGCAGGCAGCATGCTGCATTTGTAGTTTCTGCCGTGAGAGATTTTCCAATTAAGTTGGCTTAGAAAAAGAGCTCAAATCATTGGGCACTAAAAGCTGAAAGCAAACTTTAATTTCAGTGATTCTGAAAATACTGAAGACCTGGGATTTTAATGGGTCAGACCATTTTGCAGAAAACAAATGCAATTATAATGCCTGAGCTTGTGTGTATAAGAGTGGGCGTGGCTTGACTTTTATTTAATTTGCAAAGCTTTTGTTGGCAACGGCAACAAAGTACCATAAAAAAAAAAACAAAAACAAAAAAATAACGCGCGTCGCTTGGCAAGCAGAAATTGCATTTCGGATGTTGCAGCAGCAACAGCAACACCAACAGCAATAGCAACGTCAACAGCAACACTTTGCATCGCTCTGCAGGAATTTGGGTCAAACATGAAGCACATAAACACACACATACAGCATGGCACAAAGTTTCCATGCCGGCATGCGGCATTTTGTGGCAATATCAACAGCGCTGCCACCAGCAGAAGTTGCAATAAAAACACCAACTATATGCAGCACCAACATGCCGGCTGCAGCATCTGCCTTTCCCATTCGCAAAGCCAATTATTTTCTCATTTAATTTGATAAACTTCTATGGTTATTTACATTCCCCAGCTAAAGTAAAGGATTGCATCACACAAATGGTTTAAATTTGTGCAGAGTAATATTTCTGTAAACCTTAATAATGGAAAAACAAATAAGCGCGATAAACCGGCCATGACTTGTATTTAAATTTACTTCCTTCGCATGTAGTAAACGCCTATATCTTGAACAAAACACCTCTGATTTTTGAGAAAAAGATTTTTCGACATTTTAAATGTGGAAAACTCAGGGGTGCCACATTTGGACGTACTGCGACTGCGATATCTTTGCCAAATCGGATCAGAATCTTAAGCGGAGTATCTTAAACGATTTGTAGATCGATTCTCCACCGATCTGCATAAAAATCTGGAAGCAAAATATTTTTTAGATTTTTCGTCCATTTTTCTAGGGGATCCCCTTTCAAATGTGGAAAACTCAGGGGTGCCACATTTGGACCTACTGCGATGGCCATATCTTTGCCAAATCGCATTAGAATCTTAAGCGGAGTATCTTAAACGATTTGTAGATTGATTCTCCACCAATCTGCATCAAAATCTGGATGCGAAATATTTTTTAGAATTTTCGTCCATTTTTCTAGGGGATCCCCTTTCAAATGTGGAAAACTCAGGGGTGCCACATTTGGACCTACTGCGATGGCCATATCTTTGCCAAATCGCATTAGAATCTTAAGCGGAGTATCTTAAACGATTTGTAGATCGATTCTCCACCGATCTGCATCAAAATCTGGAAGCAAAATATTTTTTATATTTTTCGTCCATTTTTCTAGGGGTCCCCTTTCAAATGTGGAAAACTCAGGGGTGCCACATTTGGACCTACTGCGATGGCCATATCTTTGCCAAATCGCATCTGAATCTTAAGCGGAGTATCTTAAACGATTTGTAGATTGATTCTCCACCAATCTGCATCAAAGTCTGGAAGCAAAATATTTTTTACATTTTTCGTCCATTTTTCTAGGGGATCCCCTTTCAAATGTGGAAAACTCAGGGGTGCCACATTTGGACCTACTGCGATGGCCATATCTTTGCCAAATCGCATTAGAATCTTAAGCGGAGTATCTTAAACGATTTGTAGATCGATTCTCCACCGATCTGCATCAAAATCTGGAAGCAAAATATTTTTTATATTTTTCGTCCATTTTTCTAGGGGTCCCCTTTCAAATGTGGAAAACTCAGGGGTGCCACATTTGGACCTACTGCGATGGCCATATCTTTGCCAAATCGCATCTGAATCTTAAGCGGAGTATCTTAAACGATTTGTAGATTGATTCTCCACCAATCTGCATCAAAGTCTGGAAGCAAAATATTTTTTACATTTTTCGTCCATTTTTCTAGGGGATCCCCTTTCAAATGTGGAAAACTCAGGGGTGCCACATTTGGACCTACTGCGATGGCCATATCTTTGCCAAATCGGATCAGAATCTTAAGCGGAGTATCTTAAACGATTTGTAGATCGATTCTCCACCAATCTGCATCAAAATCTGGATTCGAAATATTTTTTAGATTTTTCGTCCATTTTTCTAGGGGATCCCCTTTCAAATGTGGAAAACTCAGGGGTGCCACATTTGGACCTACTGCGATGGCCATATCTTTGCCAAATCGGATCAGAATCTTAAGCGGAGTATCTTAAACGATTTGTAGATCGATTCTCCACCAATCTGCATCAAAATCTGGATGCGAAATATTTTTTAGAATTTTCGTCCATTTTTCTAGGGGATCCCCTTTCAAATGTGGAAAACTCAGGGGTGCCACATTTGGACCTACTGCGATGGCCATATCTTTGCCAAATCGCATCAGAATCTTAAGCGGAGTATCTTAAACGATTTGTAGATCGATTCTCCACCAATCTGCATCAAAATCTGGATGCGAAATATTTTTTATATTTTTCGTCCATTTTTCTAGGGGATCCCCTTTCAAATGTGGAAAACTCAGGGGTGCCACATTTGGACCTACTGCGATGGCCATATCTTTGACAAATCGCATCAGAATCTTAAGCGGAGTATCTTAAACGATTTGTAGATCGATTCTCCACCAATCTGCATCAAAATCTGGAAGCAAAATATTTTTTAGATTTTTCGTCCATTTTTCTAGGGGATCCCCTTTCAAATGTGGAAAACTCAGGGGTGCCACATTTGGACCTACTGCGATGGCCATATCTTTGCCAAATCGCATCAGAATCTTAAGCGGAGTATCTTAAACGATTTGTAGATCGATTCTCCACCAATCTGCATCAAAATCTGGAAGCAAAATATTTTTTAGATTTTTCGT